CACACACCCCCTCACACACACACCCCCTCACACACACACCCCCTCACCCCCTCACACACCCTCACACCCCCTCACACACCCCCTCACACACACACCCCCTCACACACACCCCCACACCCTCACACCCTCACACATCCACACACACACACCCACACCCTCACACCCCCCCACACACACACCCCCCCACACACACCCCCCCACACACACACCCCCCCACACACACCCCCCCACACACACACCCCCCCACACACCCTCACACACACACACCCTCACACACACACCCCCACACCCCCTCACACACCCCTTCACACACACACCCCCACCCCCTCACACACACACACCCTCACCCCCCATCACCCCCCACCCCCTCACACACACCCCCTCACACACCCCCTCACACACACCCCCCCACCCCCTCACACACACCCCCACCCCCTCACACACACCCCCACACCCCCTCACACACACCCCCACCCCCCCACACACACACCCTCACCCCCTCAGACGGAGTGGCTGCCGAAGCCCAGGGCTGTGTCCTGACCCCCCGATGGTGGACGCTCCCGGAGGACAACCCCAACCCCGAGGTACACACTGAAGGCGGTATCATTCCTCCTTTACCCTCTCCCCCCAACCTTCATCGGCTTAAGTGTGTGATTCCTGTAAGATTTCTCTCTTTCTTTTCTTTCTCTCCTTTTTCTTTCTCTCTTTCATTCTTTCTCTCTCTCTCTCTCTTTCTTTCTTTCTCTCTCTCTCTTTCTTTCTTTCTCTCTCTCTCTTTCTTTCTTTTTCTCTCTCTCTTTCTTTCTCTCTTTCTTTTTCTCTCTCTTTCATTCTTTCTTTCTTTCTTTCTTTCTTTCTTTCTTTCTTTTTCTCTCTCTTTCATTCTTTCTTTCTTTCTTTCTTTCTTTCTTTCTCTCTTTCTTTCTTTTTCTCTCTCTTTCTTTCTTTTTCTCTCTCTTTCATTCTTTCTCTCTTTCTTTCTTTCTCTCTCTCTCTCTCCCTCCCTCCCTTTCTCTGATCAACTTGAAGGCTGTGTACATTTCCGACCTGTGCTGTGGGAGAGGAACAGTCTGTGTGTGTTTTATATGGAATTTTAAAAATATATATATATAATAGATAGATACAGATAGTCAGACAAAACACTGTTTCTTGTAAGTCGGATTTTCACCCACAAACTGCGCCGCACTTCCTGTCCTTTTGATCCGAAAGCGGATTAAATGACACCGCGGTTGTGCATCATCTCCGAAGGTGAGAGAGACAGCGTTACACCTGTTAAATGCTGAAAACATCGGTGTATTCGGTATATTTCTCAAAGGGGAGGGGTGGGGGCACCTTTCCCCCCCCCACGGTTATCCAGGTATCTATTGGAGTCCAGTGGTTAGAGCGCTCGCCTTGCAAGCGAGACACTTGGTTTCGATTCCCGGCAGGTCAGGGCGATACCTTGGGCAAGTTTCCTTACTCCACACGTCTAATAATAATCTCTCCAAAAAAATAAAACAATAATAAATTGGTCATTTTCAATCCAGGACTGTTTGTGGGACATTGCTGTGCGCAATTGGCTGCCGCGTTCGCCCACAAATATACAGTCAATTCACTTTACAGTATATTCTGTGAAGTGCTTTGGGACGTCAAGAAGACGTGAAAAGCGTTATATCAAATGCAAGGGTTATTATTATTATATTGTCCATAACGTGCACTGGATGGTAATGATATCCTGTACCCCAACCACTCACTCACTGCATCTTTGCGAAGATGCTTCACAAAAAACTTCTTCCTGTGTGATGCTTTTTGGTCAGCCAAGCGTCTGACACGTACAAGACACTCATCACTTATGCTACAGTGTCCAACCCAGTCAGAGTTCCCCTACATGTGTGCCATGACACATGGACATTTCTGTGTGTTTGGATTGGAAGGCGCACACACACACACACACACACTCTCTCTCTGGAGCCACTCATCCTGCTTACCTAATTTCAGAGAGTATTGGGCACAGGTTGGCAAGAGCCAAGGTTTGGGGAGGTCACTGTCTGTGTTGGGGTACTGCTGGAGTGTAACCAGCTAAAACTACACGGATTGCCATTGAGAACACTTGCAAGCTTTCCACTGCTTGTGCAGCCAGGATCACGCTGCCCGTTAGGGCTTTGGCTTGCAGGATCGAAAGGAATAGAGTGAGCTTTGTGAGCCAAGAGAATGTTATTAGGCTGTTTGACTAGTGTGGGCATCAGAGTCGGGAAAGATTCCTGTCATACATCCGCACAATTGGGCAGCAGTCATGGGATAGCAGTGGCCAAACCCGGGAACGATGATCGATTTTTCTCTGTTCAGGCCTCGGCACCAAGATCAACTCCAAAAATACTCTTTCCCCCTTCCTTTCCCGGTTGCTACCATTCTTGCAATGAGCTGATTCAGCACAGACGACGACAACAACAACAAGATTACATTTGTATAGCGCCTTTCACATCGGGAGGATGTCCCAAGGCACTGGACAGTGTACAGCATTTCAGAGCCGAGCTGGGGTCAGGGGGGGAGAAGGGAGGGGAGGGGAAGGGGGGTGGCTGATGGCATGGTCGAAGAGGAGAGTCTTGAAGCGGGACTTGTAGGAGGCTAAAGAGGGGGTGAGGCGGAGTAATTGGGGGATGGAATTCCAGAGGTTGGGGGCAGAATGGCTGAAGGCTCTCCCGCCAATGGTGGGGTGGGTGGGTCGGGGGACATGGAGCAGGCCGGAGCCGGCTGAGCGGAGGGAGCGGGTGGGTTGGTAAGGGGTTAGGAGGTCGCAGAGGTAGGGTGGGGTGAGGCCATGGAGGCTTTGTAGCTGAGGACCAGGATCTTGAACTGGATTCTCTGAAGGATAGGAAGCCAATGGAGTCGGGCGAGAATGGGGGAATTGGGGTCATGGAGTTTGGTGCGGGAGAGGACACGGGCTGCAGAGTTCTGGATTATCTGCAGCCTGTGGAGGGAGGAGTTCGGAAGGCCGACAAGCAGGGCGTTTGCATGGTCGAGCGTGGAGGTGATGAAGGCATGAACAAGAGTTTCAGTGGCCTGAGGGGTGAGGCAATGGCGGAGTCGGGTGATGTTACAGAGGTGAGGGAAGGTAGAGTGGGTCATGGAGGTTGATGCTGCCAGTGCCTGAGGTGCAGAGGCGCTGGCGCGAGCCAATCAGGAGGGCCTCAGTCTTGTTCACATTCAACTGTAGGAAATTTGCCCTCATCCAGGACTTGATGTCCGACAGACAGTCTGTCAGGACAGCAGTGGTCCTGGAGTTGAGGGTGGAGGCAGAAAGATAGAGCTGGGTGTCATCCGCATAATAATAATACTACTAATAATAATCCTTGAATTTGATACAGAGCTTTTCACATCTTCTAGACGTCTCAAAGCGTTTCACAGAATATACTGTAAAGTGAATTGACTGCATTTTTGTGGGTGAAACATGGCAGCTAATTGTGCACAGCAGTGTCCCACAAACGGTCTTGGATTGAAGTGACCAAATTATTATTGTTTTTTTCCTTGAGGGATTATTATCAGGCGTGTGGAGTAAGGAAACTTGCCCAACTTTTCGCCCTGCCGGGAATCGAACCCAAGTCTCTCGCTTGTGAGGCGAGTGCTCTAATCACTGAGTTACAGGACTTAACCATTAAATCTTGAAAAACAGAGAAAATGGTCTGGTGGACAAACTTAAAATTATCAATGCCAATGGAGGCTATGTATGTTAAAAACATACATGTGGAAGTTGACCCCATGTCTGCGGATGATGTCACCAAGGGGGAACATGTGGATATTAAAGAGGAGAGGGCCAAGGACAGAGCACTGGGGGACCCCAGACATGACAGTGCGGGGGCTGGAGGAGAAACCATTAGAGGAAACAAAGTAGAGACCTCCACTTCAAGAGAAGCCAGAACAGGAAGTATGAGGCAGCAGAGAGCGTGGCCCACCCAGGGCTATGCCCCTGCTCTGCTCCTACCCACCCAGCAAAACAGTGCTTCAAATTTGCCAACCATTGCACAGGTGGACAAAACAGCTAACTTCCCGGTCACCAGGGTACCATTGACATCAGTTCCTGTGCATGACCAGTAAGGCTGATGGTCTGGAAATCGGCCATTTTGGTTCATGGTACACCTACTGGTAATTTGAAGTACCACTGAAGCTTCCGTTTCAATTGGTAAATGTCGGTGTGCACACCCAAACCCCAGCAAATGCAAACCTACGTAATAACGAAACACGTTATATTGAGGTTTTTCTGTATTAAGTGTTGTTTTATATGCGACATGTTACATCAATCTACCACGAGGGAGGGGAGAAGAGTTGGTACTCAGATTGTAAATTGTCTTGACAGATAATTTGCTATTTTGTTTTGGTCAGCCTGGTGTGACACATATGTAAAACCATCACCATGGTTAACAGTATCCAAACCAAGCATCCCACCTAGACATGGAAATCCCAGAGATAGATTGTTGGAATGGAACGTGCACTCTCTCCCTGGAGGGACGTATCTTGCTTACCTAATTCCGGAAAGTATTAGGCACAGGCTGGCAAGAGCCAAGGCTTGGGGACCCCAGAATGTACTATGGGGTACTACTGGGGTCTTACCAGCTAAAACTGCATTGCTTGCCATTGATATTGCTGTCTGGCAAGCTTTCCCGCTTCTTGTCCAGCTACCCGTGAGGGCTTTGGCTTGCAGGGTTAACAGGAGCTGAGTGGGATAGACTCCCTGCTCCAGGGACTGGTTTGCCCTTCCAGGTCCTGCTCATGAGTCACGCTGTCTGTGCTGTCATCAGCAGTGCCCTGGAATACTGCGGATCCTCTTGGCTCAGGAAGTGGACCACCGAGACCACCACAGAGGGCTGGCTCGATCCCGACATTCCATTGCCAGGCATGTCGCCTCGGAGCCAGTTGAACTCCAAGGAGACCCCGCTTACCCCCCCCAGAAGATAAAATAATTCGCTACAAGGGTGTAACTACCTGGCTTTATGTTTCCAGCCACTCGTTTTATTGCTAATCTGGAAATGAACCATCACCTGATTGAGCAGTTGCTGACTTGTCCCGTTTGCCTGGACCGCTACAAGAGGCCAAAGCTCCTGCCTTGCCAGCACACCTTCTGCCAGGAGCCCTGCTTGAAAGGCTTGGTCAACGAAGTCAACCGAAAGGTGAAATGTCCCGAATGCAGGGCGGTCCACAAAATCCCCCGCGAAGGAGTGTCTGGATTCCCCAACAACAGGACTATTCTCAGCTTTCTGGAAATCCCTCTGGAGCAGATCCCAGGCCTGAACAGCAATGGGCCACTGACCTGCCATTTCTGCAGCCTCAAGGAGGAGCTGGCAGTGTGCTGCCATTGTGAGAAACACCTGTGCGATTCCTGTCAGCATTTACACATGGAGCAGCTGCGACTGGACCTCAAGAGGTTGGTGTCCCAGTTGAGGAGGTCCGTTCCTAAGCTCTCCAATGCCCTGGGAGCACTGGAGCAGAAGCTAGCGTCTCTGAAGCAAAATGTCGAGGCAGTGCGTGCTGAGATCAGACGCAGCGTGGAACGGTTTATCGCCGAGTTGAAGGAACGGGAGCAGGTTCTGATGTTGGAAGCGGAGACCCTGGTGCAGTCGGCTGTCAGGACTCTTCAGCTGAAGCAGGAAAACTTGGAGCTTGAGCTGGCCAGCATTTCAAGTCACTGCGACTGTGTTGAGAACAGCTTGAAGGGCAGTGGGCGCCTCCCAAGCAGCGAGCTGTGGCAACTTCACAAACAGTCCAGAGAGCTCATCGGACAGATCAGGTACTTGGATGAGCCAGATGAGGTCCAGCCCAAGGTTCTGAGGTTTACAGCCAATACCGTTGCTCTTCACACCGATGTCGTCAAGTTTGGCTCAGTCTCTTGGGCCACAAAAAATTCAACACCTTTGCAACTCCTTTCTTCCAGTTTGTCAAGATATCAAGCAACACAGAACTCACATCGAAGCATTACTGTTTCAACGCAGAGCAGCATTGAAATGTATTCCCCTCTGACAATAAACAATTCTCTTAACCCTTTGCCCAGGATGGCTAGTAACTATTTATCCTCGAATTCACAGTTAGGGCAAAGGGCAAGCTCCAGCGATTCCCAGGCTCTGATTATTGAGCTGCTGGACATGAACCACCACATGTTGAGCCTCCCGTTGACCGGTCGCGATCTTCAGCTTCACTATCAGGAGAAAGGACGCCTGCAATTCAAGTTTGGATCGAAAGGCAGTGATCTGGGTCATTTCACTTGGCCAAGAGGGGTGGCTGTGAGTCCTGAAGGTCACGTGGTCGTGGCAGACAGCAGCAATCACAGAGTCCAGGTATGACGTCAATGATAGAGCGGGTTGAGCAAAGTATCTGTAGAACTCAAAGTTAGCATTAGGTCCACAAGCAGCAGAACTTTAATAGAATAGGGTGGGGGGAAGGGGGTGTAACGAAGACGCTGCAAAGTAACGAGGTACATGGTTAAGAATGCACAAAGCATCCAAATATTCATAGGAAACAGAGTAAGAGGGAACCTGTAAAATAAATACACTGACCGTCTCTGGTGTGGGGAGTGAGCTAACAATTTTGCGTGAGGTGGGGCAGATGTTGTCGATTAGACAGGAGACTGGGCAACACAGACAAAAGAATGTTTTGCAAAAAAGGCCATGCTGCTGGAGGGGAAGGTGAAAGTCTGGTAGAAGCAATGAAACATGTAACCGCACTGTACGGTACGTGTCAGCAAGGAGAACCTTACCCCTTGGGTTTGGCTCATAGAGCTGAGGAAGTGTTTGCCATGTGCTCCTCCTCTTCTCCCCCCTCCCATTAGTTTATTTTGAGACACAGCGGACATGCCTGGCCCCTTTGCTCTCCCCACTTAGCAGAGCTTTGCCTCTGTGATTCGGCATTGTGTATTAATACTAAATCTGGTAGACTATCAGTTTGAAAAAGGGTGTGCATGGAATGAACACGAATGTGTGAAATGCTTTATCTTGTTTGAGCAGGAGATCCATCGTTTGTTTGTGTACTTTGGATTTTATGCTTTCTGAGGAGCAGATGGTGCTATGGATCAGTGATACATAATCTTCTAGGACCTGGGTTTAAAATGAGCCCAGAGTGAAGGGAGGAAAGTCTGCTCTCTGCTGGCTGCAAAACTCCTTTGTAAAATGAGTTCAGAGTTTGGACAGTCAGAGCCAAGTTCCAAGTGGATCCACAGCACAGAATGTTAATTTGAGAATACATATAGATCTGGCTGCTGTGTTCGCCTGCACAACATGCAGACACTATTTGCAAATTTTGTGAAGTGCTTCAGGACGGATGCCTGAGGTGAAAGGAGCTATATAAAATAATAAAAAATAAATAGTAATCCTTGCATTTGATAAAGCACCTTATCATGTCGTTGAGATGTCTCAAAGCTCTTCACAGGATATACTGTAAAGTGAGTAGACTGGGTATTTTGTCGTCGAACACGTCAATCAGTTGCACACAGCAGTGTCTCACATAACAGTCATTGAGTGAGTGACCAATTTTATTTAGGGGATTTATTGGCCAGGTCACCAGGAGAAACTCCCTTCTCTTTCTGAATAGTGCCATGTGATCTTTAACATCCATCTGAATAGCCAGATGGGACCTTGGTTTAACGTCTTATCCAAAATGCAGTATTGTCATGATCCATAAGAATGAGAAATCTCACTCTTGTACCACAGGCAATGTTCTTTAGTTTGGAAGGACAGATAGAGATTCAGCGTGACTTTGCCGTACCTGCACTGACAGTGCTTCTTGAAGCACGGATTTTGTGCCTGAAATAACATGGAGCGGGCCAGTGCCCGCCGAGTAGAGCTGTTGGTGAAGGTTTAGTAGGTCACAGAAGTAGGGAGGAGCAAGACCATGGAGGGCTTTAAAGATGAGGTCAAGGATCTTGAACTCAATCCTCTGGGTGAAGGGGAGCCAGTGAAGCCGGACGAGGCTGGGGGGATAGGCTCCCTGAGCTTGGTACGAGAGAGGACACGAGCTGCAGAGTACTGCAGGTATCAAGAGTAGCGATTTGTGATTGAATTGTGGTTATAACAGACTAAGCTAATCATCCGTTGTGATTTCTTCCCACACAGATATTCAGTGGAGGAGGGAGGTTTGTCAGAGCGTTTGGATCCTACGGTAGCAGTGACGGAGAGTTTGATTGTTTGGCCGGTGTTGCTGTCAACAGCCAAGGCTGGATTATCATTGCTGATCGCTACAACCACCGCATTCAGATCTTTGACCGGGTCGGGCGCTTCATACGCAAGTTCGGGAAAGAAGGTGCCTGCAATGGGCAGTTGAGTTACCCTTGGGGGGTGACGACAGATGGGCTGGGCTTCATCTACGTGTGCGACAAGGACAACCATCGGGTCCAGGTCTTCACTTTGGACGGCCAGTTTGTGCGCAGGTTTGGCCGCCTGGGCAGTGGGGATGGCCAGCTGGAGCACCCACATTACTTGACCATCACCTCCCAGAACCAAGTGGTGGTCAGCGACAGCTGTAACCACCGGGTGCAGGTCTTTGATAAGTACGGCCGGTTTGTGAGCAAATTTGGGTCCGAGGGCACGGCTCCGGGCCAGTTCAAGTACCCTCGTGGTCTGGCCGTTGACCACGAAGGGAACATTCTCGTGGGAGACAGCGGGAACAATCGCATCCAGATCTTCCGTCCTGACGGGACCTTCCTGCAGGCTTTCGGTAGCTGGGGAACAGGGGATGGACAGGTGAAAGGCCTGGAGGGCATAGCCTTTTATGGAGGAGATATCATCATCAGCGACAGGGAGAACCACAGAATACAGATCTTTTAGCACTGGACTCACCCAATAACCTCATGGGTCAAGGAATCACCCAGTGAAGTGTTACGCCAGACAGGCCGACCAGAAGGTCCCAGTTTGCTGATCACAGCTGTGGGCATTAGAACAGGGTTAGAGAAAGGTGGGTGTGGAAATCAGACTGTGTTCCCACTCCCGATAGTAATTGAGTGATCTTTGCTAGTTAGTGCATATATGTGGATGTCAGGCAAGGGCAGGATCATGCTTCGCTGTGACGCCCTCCATTGGTAAAACTGTGTGCTAACGCTCACTGTGTAGGTCACACAGAAATAATGACTGGAGTTCCCCTCGGAGCCATACTCCAGCAGGAATACGTCTTCAGGAGAGGAGAGGAACAAATTGGCAACAAAATAAAGAAGATAAAGTGTTGTTCTATCTTCAGAGTGGATCACCAGTGTAAACTTATTCGTAGGTTTGAACAAAAGGCATGGACAGTGTTGGATTATCGAGAGATCCCAACGCTTGTTCACATTACCTCTCAGCAAAAAAAAACAATAAAGGATGAGATTTCTAAAATGTGCTGCAAACTCTGAATGATAGAGGAGGGGAACGGACTGGATTGACAGGGTTAAACATGACATTCTGGATAATCTGGAATTGGTTTGTGTTGACATGTGCGTGGAAATGCCACAGAAGTGAAATGAGAAGGGTTTAACGAATTCTGCACAAGAGCTGGAAGTGCCTGTCACTCATGTCCCCCTGCCTTCCGTAGCTTTTCCCACCTCCAGCTCGGACTCCCAGCTCACTCAGACGTCCTCCCAACGTGAAAGGTGCTATGTAAGTGTAAAAACTACTTTAAACTGAGAGTGACTTGGAAAGGCTTTGAAGCATTCGAGTAAACTTTGAGAGAAATCAGCAAGGGATATAGTCAACAACAAGAACTTGCATTTATATAGCGCCCTTCACCTTCACGCGGGGTAGTGTCTCGGAGCGCTCAACAGTAGCAGAGCCTGATCCTGAGCTGGGGGGGGGGAGAGAAAAATTGACCATAAACAGTTGAAGAAGAAGGTTTTTAGATGTGATCTGAAAAAGAGGAAGGAGGGATTGAGGGGGAGAATTCCAAAGTTTGGGGCTGTAGAGGCTGAAAGCATGGCTTTCAACACATTGCATTGGTATGTTTTTGCTCATCTTTATGAACAACTATTTTAGAGTCAAAGACTCCATACCAGTCGACAGATCTGCATCTGGCAAGTCTCCTTCAATCCTACCTGATGAAATGGAGCTTTATTTCAGAATCTGACCTAAATTACTGTGCTGGAGTGTTTCCGCAGCTCCTAGAGTAGAGCATGAAATTAGGATTCATACTTCACTCTGGACAGCGCTGAGAGTACTACACATGTTCATCTCAGTGCATCACCAGCCAGCGTCAAATGCAGGTTTTAATAAACACAAAGAAGCTTTAGCACAGGGTAATGAGACACCCAAGATCTTTTAAACAATTTTTTAAAAAAAGTTTATTTTTTAAATTACCCGCATTTAGACATTAATGAATTCACAGCGCAGCCAATGCACTGATTCTCCTGTCAGCGGTTTGAGAAGTGCAGCAGGCATAAAATTTTGGCACATTTTAAGCTACATTTATACTGCACATGTACTCTAAGTGGTTGGTTTGATAATAAAAACAGTGTCAAACTCAGCAGTTTAAATAGCACATAAAGTTTCATTAAACTTTGATCTATATATTCTAGTTTGAATAACTTCTCATTACATTTTATCGAACTAAACTCTGCCTCTTCTACCTCAATGGGCCAAGCAGCCTGCGATGTTTCTGACTTAGCTGTCCATTTCAGTGGTGTTGTCTTTGCCCTGGCTGTGCTTCACCAATTTGCTTTAAAAAGTCTCAGAACCATTTGATCGTTAAACTATTCCGTGGTGATTTTCGAAGGCTGGAGCAGCCCCTGATCAGAGCTGTGGACATTGGAACAGGGCTAGCGAAAGGTGGGTGTGGAAAACACACTGTGTTCCCACTCCCGATAGTAATTGAGTGATTTTAGCCTCTACACAGAGGGGGAGTTTTATCATTTCAACTCTCACCCGCTGCTTGGGTGGCATCACCAGCCAGGTTCTCTACCATCAACTTTCTCGAACAGCAGCAATTTCAACAACATTCCCCATGGTTCCCACACACAGGAGGTTGTGTTTCACACAACACCTTGCTTTTCTAATTCTGGTTCAAGCTTTTAATAATAATCCTTGCATTTGATATAGCGCCTTATCACATCATTGAGACGTTCAAAACGCTTCACAGTATATACTGTAAAGTGGATTGATGGTTTTGTGGGCAAAACAGAGTAGCCAGTTAGTTACATACAGCCATGTCCTCCAAACAGCCACGGAATGAGTGACCAATTTTATTTGGGGGTTTGTTGGCCAGGACACTTTTATAGTTCTTGTTGAAAACCTCTTCCCTCTCTCTCTCTCTCTCCACAACTATAACAATAATAACTAGTCATGGCTTGCAGCCCAATGGGTAAATAGATAGCTATAAGAAAACTCTTCCCCTTTTCTGCCTGGTGCTTTGATACACGTGGATGAGTGAAAGCAAAGTTCCAGGATAACAAGATGCATTATTTCATGAAAACTGTTGCATCCACATGTCCTGAAGTCAAATGAATATTCACAGTAGTTTCCCTTTTTATCAGCCCATAGTTTTTTTGGACAGGGAGAGAGACGAGGGCAGGTAAGATAAATTACTCTTTTTAGAGCCAGTTAACTTGTTTTTAAAAACAAGTTAGTGTTCACTGCAGCAGGGTTGGAACAACACCATTTAATACTAATAATAATCCCTGCATTTGCTAGAGCACTTTATCACGTCTTTGAGACATCTCAAAGCGCAAATAGTGGCAACCAATTGCGCACAGCTGTGTCCCACAAACAGTCGTGGATTGAGTGACCAAATTATAATTTTTTTTCAAGGAATTATTACCCCAGAACAATCCACCAATTGACTAACAACCAGGTTCCTACTTACTGCTAGGTAAACAGAGGTGTGTGGAGTAAGGAAACTTACCCAACGTTTTGCCCTACTGGGAATAAAACCCAGGTCTCTCGAGTGCTCTAACCAACAAGCTACAGGAGCTCCACAATTGCAATTTACTTTGCAATGAGAGNAAAAAATTATTTGTGAATGATGTTAATCTCATGGATTTTAATATTAATGGCTCACTAGGTTTGACACTTTTAAACTCTTGTGTTAAATGAAAACATGTATCATTTGAAATATTCTGTACAGTCAGAGTCCGTGGCCTCTTAATTTCTCAATTTGTTCCGAAATCTTACAAGCTGTCCCCATGGTAACTGTGTTGGCTTGTTACTTAGTTACCACGTAAATTATTCACAGATCCCAAAATAGGTGCCTTTCCCTTTAAGGCTCAACGCTCTTACATTTAATAGCTTCTTGCAGTTTAGAAGATGGATGTTATACAAAATGGTATGGGCCAAAAGGAGATTTAATGTGAAGGATGTGAATGGACTTGTTCATTGGAACAGTAAAAGATCAATGCCATTGACGTTGAAGAGAATCGTTATTTACCCTATTCATGTAAGGGTTAACTTTAAATGTTCTCAATAATTCAAGATGGCACTTTTAGTGCAGCGTCATGCTCTCAGTGCAGATTGTCTTGACTACGGTCCAAGTAATGGTCGTGACGCAAGACAGCAAGCACCTGCTTTGCCAGGTAAATGTGCTCCGACTCGGGTGGGTGGGGAGAAGGAGGGGAGAGGAGAGAGGTTATGAACTTTGCGGATCACAAAGATTAAAATGTTGAGTCAGATTAAGAAACAGAAAGCACACTTTCCCTCCTGTCCTCAAAATTATTGGACAAAAGGTCTTTTAAGTAACGTAACAATTCTTTTAAGCAATTAATATTTAACAATCTGACGTGATACGAATTAACTGTGAGCATCAACTCAGCACCAACAGAGCCAATGAAGCTCTTCTGGCGAGGGCTGGCTAATGAAGGGCAACACTTGAATTGGTGAGCAAGATGGATAATTAGCTTTGAACAGATGGGTCCATTCTGCCTTAATGTGCAATCACTCTTCAGTAGTGACTGACCTCACACAAACATGCACACGCCTACCACCCTGGGAAGCTCAACATTTCCCAACTGTAATGGCAGGCTTGCCAGTCACCACCTATCTCCAATGTGAAGACCAGATTCAACTCTTTGGGCTAGGGGTAGGGGAGGATCACTGTACACAGTACACAATATGTACTTGCAATTGGGGGGAAAAAAATCCCATTATCCTCCAAGCACACCGTCTCAGTGTAGTTACACCTGACTAGCTGATCCTTCAAAAACATGTTGATTACTCACTTAAAAAATATAGGCCAAACAAAATGTAATGCACATCGGCATAGAAGTACCTGGAACCTGTGACCGACTCATTGCGAAAAATGTTTCAAGCCCGCTTTCTCCAGACCTACTCAAAGCCATTTTGAACGGCTTACAGCAGCTCTCTATGGTGTGGTATCCAACTTGGGGGCTCAATAATTGGTCATGGCAATGACAGCTTTGGCAGCATCACTATAACAGACTGCAGCTTCTATCCCTGCAGGGAAACAAGAAAGGGAACAACAAGATGCAAAGAGAAACAGCATGGTTGCAGGCAGTTCCATCCAATTCGAATCATCAGGGGGTAAGGTAGAGTCAGCTCTGTGAGGAACTATAATCCGCAATCATACTGCTCATCTAGTTCTGGTCCTGATCAGTAATGGGTAAAAGGAATCAAAATAAATTGACTTCACAAATTTGCCAACCAAAATACATGACTTCACTGTTATAAATATCCACAGAATAAGCATTGTTTCTTCCCCATTTACTCCCAATCGCATTCAGTCTCAGTTCGTGTCCAAACTGAATTAATTCAAAACTGTTACAATACAATGTAAAATGACATTTGTACAGCGCCTTTCATATCAGGAGGACGTTCCAACACATTCAGGGATTTGGACCCGAGCTGGGGATCAGGATCGGGGAGGGTGGAGCGCAGAGGGGTAGGAGAGTGGCCGAAGGTTTGGTTGAAGAGAAGGGTTTTGAGATGCGCCTTGAAGGAGGAAAAGGAGGGAGTGAGGCAAAGAGATTGCAGGATGTTCCATAGGATGGGGTTGAAAGACTGAAGGCCTGACCACCGATGATGGACTGGGCCGAGCAGGGGACATGGAGCAGGCCACAGCCAGCTGAGCAGATAAGAGCGTACAGGTTGATATGGGGTCAGCAGATTGCAGAGGATTAAGCTCATGGAGAGCCTCTGGATGATCTGCAGCTTGTGGAGAGCAGAGTAGGGAATGCCGACAAGCATAGTCGAGTCATCAAGCAATAGACAAGCATTGGCGTAGTTGAGCCTAGATGTAATGAAAGCATGGATGAGAGTTTCGGTGGCCTGAGAGGTGAGGCAGTGGCAGAGCCGGGCGATGTTGCGGAGGTGGGGAAGGCAGAACGGGTCATGGCATGGATGAGGGGTAGAAAGGACAGTTGAGGGTCAAACAAGACGCCAAAGTTCCGGACTGGCTTAGTGAGGTGGAGTGTGCATCCCTGGATGGTGATGCTGTCAGCGTCTAAGGTGTGGAGGCGCTGACGGGAGCCAACCAAGAGGGCCTCGGTATTGTTGACGTTCAACAATAGAAAGTTAGCTCTCATCCAGGACTTGATATCTGACAGACATTCTGTCAGGACAGCAGTGGTCCTGGAGTCGAGGCTGGAGGCAGAGAGATAGAGTTGGTTGTCATCCACATACATGTGGAAATTGACCCAACCCTTACTTAGAAGCCACCCTTATACAAAGGCCGCTTTGGCCCAGCCCCGAGAGGTAGTTAAAAACAGGCTTGACTCTAACCAGAAAGAAGGCACAATAAGTATTTTGGTCAAGCTTCTTTTAAAAAAAATGCATTTTTATTGCACTTTTTAACGCTTGAAATGCCTCAAAGCACTTGCCAACTCATTATCCTGTGAAGTGCAGTGATTTTTTTTGGCAAATGCATCACCTAGTTTTGCCAGCAATAGGCTGCAGATGAACCAGCCTCGAGGATTGTGGGCTAAGAATCTGTGTAAAATTCTCCTTTTGAAAAATCAGGTTATTTCATCTATCGTTCACCTGAAGACAAGTAGGAGGTACCTTGGTTTAATACCTCAATAATCTTTCACCTCAAGATAGAAATAGTGGCAAATGAGGAAGTCCTCAATCGTGGCATCTTCCATAGAGAACGAGAGCAAACTCATCAGAATCCATTACACTTGAAAGGAGGAAATCTTAATTAAAACTACTCATACACATATCTGAAGACACTGAGGTTCACACATACATGTCAAGACAGACACACACAAGACTACACACAGAAAGTCAAGTGACCAGGGAGGTATTAGTTTGGTTTTATTGTATCCAATGAGTGGGCACACATCACTGTGATGCACCATTAATACAGCATCAGTGTTAACGCTTGGTATGTATTCTTTTAGAATAATTCAATTTATTTTCAAACGCAAACACACAAGACTGTAAAATATGCAATCTTTTCTCAAAATTAATAAATACAAGGATATCACAGTACAATCGAGACACTGTTACAGCAATAAAGCCAAAAATATTTCTCACTCTGCATCATAATCAAATATAGGGTTACTGTGATAAACTCTTGATGTGTTCAGTCAAACGAGGTCGACCCGAGCCAACTCGATACTTTTCAGTTACTTCCCCCATTCACGACGATTAAAGGTGCTCTCCCCATTGCAGTCACCTTGTGTGTGTGTGTGTGTGTGTGTGCATGCGCACACAGGGAGCACTGACTCCATTTTAGTCATACCAAGTATATGCCAGTTATATGCTTCCAGTTACACTGGGAAGGAAACGACCATTCATTCTCTTAAGAAACTGAAAGTTCTTGATGAGGATTGGTGGGGGAATATTACATAAGGTTTTGTTCAAAGACATTATAATGTTTCATTATTGTTGCTATTGATCAATTCCATAGTGCCTCAGCTTGTGTGTAAACTTTGCCCATTAATTTTGTCAAATTTTGGCACGCGAAAATCTCAAAATGCTCTGGCCAGGAACAAGTCAAACCTGCTAAGTGGTGAGAAAGGTGAGCCATGTCACGACCAGGCTCACTTCGCCTGAACGTTAACATTGATGTTACAAGACATTTCCCAAGACAGAAAGGCATCAGTCTCGGGCTTAGTGCAGACCACGTGCAACTTCAGACCAGTGAATGAAGCGTGGATAAAGCAGGTCCCGATTAGGTGGATTAAATTCTCTCGATGAGGACATTCCATCACCTTACTTTGAGAATTTTCAACAACTGAGGGAGGGTTCAGCAATCAGCAAATAGTGGCATAAAATTGAGTAGTCATGGGAAGGGGGAGGGAGGAAACAAGTGTAGGAGATGGTGGTAACAGTAATTGCTCAGTTGTGTATGTCAATCTCACCCTCTCTTTCCACCTGCTCCTCCCCTCCCCCAAACCCACAATCATGTAGAAGTTGAACATAAAACAGCCTTAATCATGGCTTCATGTGAAATGTATTCCGTGGGTCAAAACCAAGCTGACACACACAAAAAAACGAATTTACAGCAGCAAGCAATTTCCCATAACACAGGGCACCAAGAAAATTCATATTATAGATTTTTTTTACATTTTAGTTTGACGATAGAACCAATTCTTCTGCCCAGCAGATCTCGCTTTGATGCTGAGGCTTTCAACCAGATCAACACACAGTAGGACTCCGGACCATTACCTTGAAACAGCAACCTCGGATGTTGGTTAGACTGAAATGGGTCAGCTCAGGTCACTGGACCTTCCCCAGATGAAATGTGTGTTGGTAAATCCATAGTTAACAAAACCAACATTTTAATAGTAAAGCGTCTCTCAGCGACATGGCCCATTGTGTCATTGTTGATTTGTGCCAGTGATTTTCCGCAAGATGGAAGTGCAGTGAGAAAAAGAAAGAAAACGGGTTGTTTAATGACTGGCTCATGGAATATTGGGAGAGGAGAATGCAGTCACTTACGGGTGAGGGAAACAGTACACGGTGGGAGGTTCTGAAAGAACAGAGAAGCAAACAGTCTGGTGGCAACAACCATATTCTGCATTGCCAAGCATATTTCATTACAAAGCAGGACACTGAAGACAAGAACAATTACAATAACAACAAAAGATTAGAGACAGATTCCAGCAATTAGTCAAAAACCTTAAATGTACACACATTTTGAAATGGCGTCAATAATGCCCAAGGCTCATTATATGACGCTTTATAATTTCAATATACTGCTCTGTCTCTCTGCTCAGTGTAAGAAATCAAATCCTGCCACAGCGAACTACAATAATGTTTGACCTTCCTCCTACCCCTATAACTTTGTAAACTACTCCTTTCAAAACTCGCCATATCACATAGTGATATGTGAGCAGAAGGTGAGCAGCAAATCTCAACCAGATAGTAGAGCCGAAAGCCAACCAAGAAAGCAAGGCAAGGCCACTGACGAGGAGCCCTTGCTCGAATGCTGGAGTTACTGTGAATGAGATGAAGGTAGCGTTTTCTAAGTAGAACTGTTCAGTTTTCAGCCGAGTGACTCTTTGCTCTAAATGTCTAGTTTGTTCAAAGACCAAGTATAACAGATTGGACCATAATTATCTGAACAGTTGGATGCCTCATTTCCTTTTCTCAAACAGCCTCTCAAACCTACCCAGACAAAGACACAATAATTTGCTACAATTTACAAAGCCGCTGACACTTACTCCCAATGTGCTTTGACAATGCAGCCCCAGCATTTTAGCAAAGATACTCAAAAGTAGGTACATGTTAAAAGCATACACAGAGGGAGTGAAATTTTTCACAGCATTTAGCTCACTTTAAATGGTTCAGCAATCATCCCCATTTCATCTGGTGAGACTGTGTCAGGTGTACACTGGACAAGTTGTATAATTATAATAATACTTGCATTTGATGTAGAGCTTTATCACGTCTTTGAGACGTCTCAAAGTGCTTCATAGAATAGACTGTAAAGTGAATTGACTATATTTTGTGGGCGAAATACCCACAAAACTATGTATCTTAGTTGAGAACTCAATCACCACTAAGCTACTTTTCTATCTGAGAGGGTTTTCTCAACAAAGAGCACACAAGTCAAGATTTATTGCTACGTGCACCCGAGACAAGGTTAGGCAGGAGTTTTGTGACTAAAGACCATCAGAGAGAACGTGAATCCTTAGTGGCACAATCTCTCGACCAAGACTGAATGCACAACACAATGAGTAACAGCACAACACAATGAGAAACTGGTTCCTCAGTCTCTGGACCGAATGTTAGATTACGTCTGGGAAAGGGAGAAATTTAATTCTGTACATTTAGAATTGATGGTCAGTTTTTAAACTGTGGTATGAAGAGAATATGAAGTGTGACATCTCAGAACAGCTGCCTCTCTACCCTCTCTGCTTGGTGATTTGAGGTATTTATGATTCTAATTTCAAGGTCTATCGTGCACCAATTGCTAACCCCAGCCAAGTTTTTATTACCTTTCAGAAACTCTCATGTCAGCGATCAAGTCATTGACTCCTCTTATCTCCCACTGCAGCCATCTGAGCAAGAACAATAATTTATTTACAATTTATGATGAAATATATAGCTATGGACAAAGGAACTCGGTGGAGATTTCTCTAACTCCCTTCACAAAACTCTTAACTCAAACACAATGACAAAAGGAGAGCCTTTCGTCCCACCAACTAAGATGAATTCCCTCAATCTATGTAACAAAATGGGAATTAGCAAACCAAGAGCTATCTTTGATGCACCTAACCCCTACAAGGGTTGCAAACACTGGCTGGTGAATAGATCTGATCTCCTACTGGAACACTCCAAATGGTGAAGATGCCTTGAGGAAGAACAGAAATCCTCAAAACAATTCAGTCTTTCCAATCACGAATGGCACAGTCAATGCTCTACAAAAATTCAATCAGCGATAGATGGTCCACTCTCGACTACAGTCCTCCAAAGTCATTCCATGCTCCCAGCAACACCCAAGATCCTCTTCAAAACCCATCAATCATCTCTTAATATTAAAGTAAAAAGTAAAAATGTAAAGGCAGTGTAGGGGCTAGGGTGAAGAGAGAGAGAGAAAAAAAGGGAGAGGTCACCAAGATCTAAAATTCAAATAATTTTAAACCTAAAGAACGCCAGTGTTTTAATTTTTTTTTTAAATTGTTCACCGAATAAATCCTTTTATATTAGTAAGTTGCAACTGCTGTTACGTTTTTGCTAGAATCACAGTGCAGATCAGTGAAAAACCAATAACTTTATATAAGCTTAGCTTCCATCAATAGGATGATAGACATCGTGCCCTGGTAGATGAATCCATCTGGCTTGTTAGGGCCTGAGACTATGAGTTAGGAAGAGAGTGAGCTGCAAACATGCAAATTTCTCCTTGATTGCCATCAATGTCCTGGTGGCAGTAGGTGCATTTCTTGCAGAGAAAAGTGGCTATTGAAAATATTTGCTTCCTGCAGAATATGCTGCTTTGGGCTGAACAACAATATGGTGGACTGTAACTGGTGCCAGTGGCTGTGAGCTGGTAAAATGAAGACCAGATCATCTAAATATGGAAAGGGAGCTGTTTAGAGAAAGGCAGGAGAAAAGTAGAAACAACTTTCAGATACAATGCAACGACTTAACAGCCTTTTGCAAAGAAGTTTTGCATACAGGGACATTTACTGAAGTGAAAATGGGAGAAAATGCTGGTTAATTGCAATTCAGACTGTAGTGTCTGCTTAAGAGGCAAGTGGCCAGTGCTGGAATGATCTTGAAATGATTATGCAGACCTATCGCCATCATGCAAAAGGCTGGTGATGAACAATTCAATGGATCAGTTTTACCTCAAAATGCATCCGCCATGAGGGATAAGTATCCTGGGGCATCTGACCTCACATTATGCCACAAAGGTTCAGCACACCCGACATAAATACACGCGCACACACACAATACAGCATCATTAACACAGTGACTGTCATTTGGATGTGGGGGGGAGGTGGGGGGGTGCAGAGGAATCCCCATTAAGCGCTCTCTCCTGATCCTGGCACAGTGATCAATGGGTTTCCAAATCGTGTTCTGCTGCAATATACAATCTTTTTTTCCAGCATCGGGATTCGCTGATTTTTCTTTTTGCTTCATTCAATCTGACCAGTGTAACCCTCCAGCAACAATCCATTTTTATTGTCCATTTAAATAATCTGTTGAATAAATTACAGGTCAAATGTGGTGCTGTTGTAAAGTCAAGGAGGAAGGTCTTCAGACTCCGACCCCAATTTAAAAGAACTGTGCAGAGAACTGGTCAGGCAGAATCTACATGCTGGTCTAGTTTAACAAGACCATGTTCAGTTATCCTTAATGTGCATGGTGCCAGTCAACTGGTCAGTGATACCCAGTTAGTGAGTTCTCCTAGGTCAGTTTTTCATGCTGAATTTGGTAGTAACAGGCCTGCAGAGAAAGATAAAGAAACCACGTTATTGACAAAAACTTTTTATGTTGTAAAAGCAGCATCACCTTCTCCGTTCAGTAATCCCTTAAGCTACAGTTTGTCTGAACTGTTAAATCCACTGGCACTCCACTCTCATGGTACACAATGTTATCTCACAAGAGAGATTTGCCTCATTTTATCTCATCCTTGTAGAAAAAGAATCTCACCGGTTTGCAATTACGGCATCGAGCTCTTAACAGAGTCCAGTGTCCTACCCTCTATCACTGATCAGAGCTGTTGATAACTCTCTTGCTTACAGAAATACTTGCTGGTTGTGTTGCTCCTTGTAACAGACTCGCAGCCATCAGTTAATCTGTGAAAGCTGCGATTTCTAATATTAGATTGTACAATGACTGACCTTTAGTGTTGTGAACATTATGCCCTGTTCCCCATGCTGTACAGATGGGTCCATTAGATCTTCAATTAGATGGACCTCTGAACCCAGGTTTCTGATCCTAAGATGGGAAAATAATACAACAGTTCACCTGAAAAGGAATACTATCCAACCTCAGCATTATCCACCAAAGCTGGTTCATGACAATTCAGACTGTTGGCATTCACCTCATGGTGAATCATAGGACCTTACTGGCACACATGGTTGTAGCATTTGCTGACAGATTGTCACTATACTTAATTGTATCAGCCTGGCTCAGTTGGTAACACTCTTGCCTCTGAGTCAGAAGTTTGAGGTTCAAGCCTCATGTCTGGACTTATTGATTTATACAGTCTAAGCTGATGTTTCATTCCAGTGCTGGGGGTATGCTACATTGTTGAAGGTGCCATCTCCAGGTGGATGGTAAAGATCCCATGACATAATTCAAAAATAAAAGGGAGTTTCTTCCAGTGTTCTGGCCAACAATCCCCAGAATTAAATTAATTTCATTGCTGGCTGTTGGACTTTGTCATGTGCAAATTAGCTTCAGCTTTCGCCTAAAAACACAGCCACTGGACTTTGCAGTATATCCTGAAGTACTCCTGACGTGAAAGACCCTATACCAAATGTAACAATTCTTATTAATTATTATTTGTCTGAATTACTTTGGGAGATATCGCAACCAGATAAGGTGCTATAAAAGTGTCTCGACATTGAGACTGACCAGATTTGACAATGCAAGTTTGAATCACTGCCTCACCTGGCTCGCAGCACCACATAGAGGAACACAGGGAACAGGTCATCCATGGACCAGAGGAAATCCTCTCGCAGCATGCCCAATACCTCTTGCGTGATCTCCTCAAAGGTCTGCTGGATGACATTCAGCTTGTCAGATGGGGTGAAGGTCGTGCTATTGATCAGAAAGCAGTCAAGGTCACTGCATGAAAGGCAACAAGTCATGAGGAAGTCATGTGCTTTCCAAAGTAAACACTGGGCAAGATGCAGGACAAGAGTTCAGCCCTGCAATCAAAGCTCATGGTTCGTTAAGATATTTGGAAAGCATTCTCAAAGTTTCCCCTGCAATATAAATACCTCCATTCAATTCCAGCCTACAAATTATTCCATTCTCGCTCTGCCATAAGATCTTCCATATTTACAGAGGTGCCACCTATGGGTAGGTTAACTACATCTACACAATGTTTAAAGATTAGTGGGATTTACCTGATCTGTTGTAAGCATTCAATAGCTGACGCGTAGCAAACCTCCTTTGCAGTGGGCAGCACCTGAGGAGATGAAGCCCACATGAGTGGAAAATAACCCCTAGAGTTGTATTTCAGCACAAGAGCATGTACTATAGCGTTAAAACAACAAATCATGCTTTACCTCTTTCTTCTCTCCCAGCACAGAGATTGTAACAGGCCAAAACTTCCTGCAGGATAAATCAGAAGGAAATTAAAGTAATATGTGGGAACACAAATGAACACGAAGATGATAACTTAGTTGATGAACTAGTGTAAGCAGAAAGAATGAATAAGCTTGAGGAGTGTGCAATGCCGTAAGACCTGTTAAGTGAACTGAAATACTACATCAATTTTCTGCTATCTAGGGAGATTCCTTGGATGAAAAGCTCTCTGTGGGTCTCTATTGGCAAACAAGAGCGTTACAGCTATAATGTTATAATCTTGGCACATTTTAACAAGGTGCTGAGAAGGCAGAGTCAATTTCCATTTTATCTCAGATAATAATACTTATATTTGACATAGAGCCTTACTACGTCTTTGAGACGTATCAAGGCTCTTCATAGAATACACTGCAAAGTGAATTGACTGTATATTTTGTGGGTGAAACGAGGCAGCCAATTGCACACAGCAGTTACCCACAGACAGTCGTGGATTAAGTGACCAAATTATTATTTTTCTGTGTTTCTTTTTAGCAATTATAACCACGGAAAAGCAATCCACCAATCGACTAACAACCAGGTTCCTAATTACTGCTAGGTAAACAGACTCGTGTGGAGTAAGGAAACTTGCCCAATGTCTCACCCTGCCCGGGAATTGATCCCAGGTCCTCTCGCTTGCGAGGCGAGTGCTCTAACCACCGAACTCCAGGACTCCACACATAAGGGTTTCACACTGCTTTTGTAGCCAGCACGCTGCAGGCCAATATACATTTTTTTTAAATAGTCACAAAAAGGATAGTCACAGATCTTATCAAACTTATGTTGATAAATTAAGCTGCAACTATACAACAGGGCAATTTTTATCAAGGATACACAATCACTACAATCGAGCAAAAGGTGAATGCATTTCAACTCAGAGGAAACATTCGGTCAGCATGCAGCCCAAAACGAGACAAAAATGGGATTCCTTTTCAGCTGTGGTACAAGACATTGATTTTACTGTGACTTTACTATAATCACCTATTTTCAAGCAAATAAACAGAGGGTCCTCTGTACATTGGATACAGACTGCAGGAGTTTTACAATAGTAACTCCAAAGGGATTCTGCGCTGGAGCATTGAAGTTCAAGCAGCTCAACACCACCTTTGCCCCAAGCATTTGTACCTTACTGGAAAAGATTCCAAAGCCATCATACAGATAGTAGGGATGAGCATTAACGCACAATGCCGCCAGCAGTGGTGTCACATCAGTGATCATGAGAGATGAATAGACCAGCTGGTGTCATCAAGCCACAGGATTCTCCAAAAGGGCATTCAAGAGGAAATTAATAGCTCCTGGTTGAAAAAAGTCGATGTGGACGCATTGGAAATGTTTGTTTAAAAAACACTAAAACACTGGCAAGTGGCCTGCAAAGTCTTTTCCAGTCCTGTACATTCCTCAGGTATTAGAACAGGATCTGATTACATATTCCAAATGGACATCTATCTGTTACTGTAGATATGTAATAAAGACAACTTTGGCACATGCAACAACAAAATATGAATATAGCCTTAACACTATTATAACTTTAACATATTGAAGTTATAGTTACATGCCTGATAATGCTCCCTCAAGAAGAAAAACAATAATTATTTGGTCACTCAATCCACGACTGTTTGTGGGACACTGCTGTGCGCAATTGGCTGCCGGTTTTGCCCACAAATATACAGTCAATTCACTTTGCAGTGTGTTCTGTGAGGCGCTTTGAGATGTCTAAAAGACACGAAAAGCGGTATATCAAATGCAAGGATTATTATATTATTACTGCAGCGTGCAGAGTCTAAGAGTGGTGCATGTATCACCAGTACATATAGCAATGCAACAAAATGTATTATTGCATACTTCGACAGAGTACAGATAAAAATAATCCTTGCATTTGATATCACATTATTGAACAGTCTCAAGACGCTTCACATGATATATACTAAAGTGGATTGACTGTGTGTTTTGTGGGCGAAATGCAGCAGCCAATTGTGCACAGCAATGTCCCACAAACAGTCATGGAATGAGTGACCAATTTTTTTTTTATTTGGGGGGATTGTTAGCCAGGACACCTGGAGAAACTCCCTTCTCTTTTCGAATAGTGCTGTGGGATCTTTAACATCCACCTGAACAGACAGACGGGACCTCGGTTTAACATCTCATCTGAAGGACAATAACTTTGTTGCAAGCATTTGAACATCGTATAATATATTACAGAAACATACAGATGTGCATTACACCAATGCAAACCACATTCTTATTTCCGTCACTCAAGTAGGGTTTAGAGAGTGCTGAACAGCGTTTTGAGAAACAGCACAGTGCCATTTGCATTCACAATCAAACGTGGGAGTTGAGATTAAATTTCCTATTCCAAGCAGTCAACACCATTAAAATTTTAAATCTGTCACAGAGCTCATCTAAATTTCCAATCCAATGACTCATTGGCATTGCAAACATTATAAGTCTGAAAGGTACCGAGGCAGAAAGTGAGAATATTCCCAGCATTAGCATGAACACAGCTCATCTGCAGAGATATATTTCCATATTCATAGCCAAACTCCCTCCTCACACACACACACCACATAGGTAGTGTAAATTTAGCATGAAATATTAATGAAGCATTGTGAATAAAACCTTCGAGAAGAGAAGAGGAGCAAAAGGGCAGAACAGAATCAGACTCAGAAATTCAGATTGAATTATTTTACAGAGAGCGGTGAATATGTAGAATGCAGGTGGTGTGTTGTGAGGGAATTGGAGAAATGGATAGCTACTTGGCTAAAATAATTCAGGGCTGGGGAAAAAAAAGCGAAGACATTTGTTTAAAAATATACAGACTTGGTGACAGATGAACAGTACTGGAAATGGATCTGCAGTCCTGTACATTGCTATGTTTCTACGTTGCAGCCTGAACACTGCTTGGGAGGTGGGAAATGGCCCTGAACTCAGGGAATTGTTATGAAATGTTCTTGCCGCACTTGCAGGAACAGTCAAGAACGAGATGTTGGATGACTGACCCTCATGAGAGAAACTTCTAGAACACTGGTGGCCGACCTTTACGAGCTTTTCTTTATTAAGAAAAATAAGTTTTCTTAATTGAATATTTCTTGATTCATGCCATAGATCAAGAAAAACATAGTACTGATCAACACGGACTTACTTAGACTCGGGCAAATGTTCGGGGCAGGGTGTGTGTGTGGGTGGGGGGGGGGGGGGGGAGGTTGAGGAGAAGGGCGCTTCTTGATAGCTCTCTGGGGTCAGGGGCCGCAGTTCGGCTGGCACTGCTCTAGAACGACCTGTGCATGTAATTACATAATTACATGTAATTACATGCACAGGACAGATGGTTAGTTTCAACCACTGGGGCAGTGCCTTGTGTTATGAAAAACGTGTGCAACTAAATCAGTTACCAGCTAAATCAGGACAAAAGAGCAAGAATGGAAACGTGCATGGATAAATGCCAGCCCGATATTACTGACACACTAGACACAGGATGAAATCTTGAATTGGCAGTATTGACAGACTGCCACATGGATACCATCTGTCATTTATTTCCTCTGTTCATTTACAAAAAAAAACCTTTACACTTGCTGGGAACCCTGAATGTAACAGCAATACTTACTGTTGGACTCCCAAGAAGCTGAGCAGGGAAAGATCTGGCTGTTTGTTCAGCCGCAGTACACACTCCCAGTAAACATCTTCTTCCCTTTCATTGTCCAGAGCGTAGAGAGTAAAGAGCGGAGGGTAGAGTCGCGGTAACAACACAGGAAGGAGCAAGCTGCAGCTGGTCATCAACATGTTGCTGGAAAATAAAGGCCATGAGGTTAGTTAAGCAGAGGCAGACAGATTTACATCATCCGTCCCCATCAGCAGAGGACAGGAGCACTGCAGCAAATGGCTCTCCCAGAAATACAGCAATTCAATCAGGACAAGATCAATGAGGAAAAGCCAGGATGTCAGGGCCCCAGTGGGTTGGCATTCAACAGGAAAGGGAAAGTGGTGACTCCTGCACTTTAAGAGTTCACATGCCACCTGGGCAGAAGGCTTATCTAGAAGGCACATCTATGCACAATTGGCTGCTGCGTTTCCCTCACAAAATATACACTTTATAGTATATTCTGTGAGGCACTTTGAAACTTCTCAACAAAGTGATAAATCGCTATATCAAGTGCAAGGATTATTATTATGTTTGTAGGCAAAGCCTAGATTGAATGGAGTTTTGGGCACCCAGTTTATAACAACAATTCTTGCATTTGATACAGCGCCTTATCTTGTCTTTTGAGACACATCAAGCGCTTTACAGGATTTACTGCAAATTGGATTGACTGTATATTTGTGAGCGAAATGCTCACGTATTCCAGTCGTACACAGCAATGTCCCACACACAGAAATGGAGTGAGTGACCAATTTTATTTGGAGGATTGTTGGCCAGGCCACCAGGAGAAACTCCCTTATCTTCTCAAATAGCGCCCTGGGATCTTTAACTTCCACCTGAACAGGCAGACAGGAACTTGGTTTAACGTCTCAACCGAAGAACGGCACCTCCGACAATGCAACCCCACCCCAGGCATTGAATTGGCATTTCATCTATTATCTTAGTGTATGAAAATGTAGTTCGGTTCAATAACCCTCTCTTACCCAAAGTCAGGAGAGTCCCGATTTCCATGATCCTTGGTCGTTGTTGCTGGGATCATGCTGCCCTCGTTTGGGAGGTCAGGAAACAGAAATCTAACACAAAGTACAGATTAATCAAGATGTGTTCGACCCACCACATGGCCAGCTTAAGAGCACCACTGAAAGAAGTTGGGCACGATTATATGGAGGTCTCAACATGCAAAGAAGCACTGGAAAAATTGAGCAGAATCTTACCTTACCAGCTGGAAGATGCGAGTTAAGTAGGATTTGATCTCACTCACTGCTTGTTGCAGGAGCCGCCGGTTGGCACCCACCCCCACGTAAGTCATCCTGTACACGGCCACAAGTGTCTCCACCAGCCTCCCTAGCGGGTGCAGAGGAGTATCACAAGCCTACGGTGGGAGGGTGAAGAATAAGGCATCGTCTGCAGCTTTACCTCTGGTTTGGGTAGGTTAGATAAATAGTCACTCTTATATTCTACATTCTTAAGTTCTACAGCAGTGGTCGGTATTCATGCTGGTGAGTAACCTGCCTGGGGATCTGATTCTAAGATTTTGGCAAAATATTTGCAACGAGCTGGAAAGCATTACATTTCACCCTAACTGTCTGTCGGTAATTTCTCAAAGACATTGAATAGCAAACAAAAGGGGACAACTCTTTTGCTTCCCCTCCACCCACACATTTGACAGCTTTTGGCACAAAGTGCTCAGCGAACACTGGCCTGTTTCATGCCTCCGCCCAATCTGCCCTACATTAGCAAGGCAGGCCATTCTGCTCAAGTTCTCTGGAAGTCCCTCCGACTCATTTTTGGTCATTATTCCCTTCCCCATCCCCCTCGATTCCCATTCCCAGCTCAGGTGCTCACTGTATTGTACATTAGCAAATTAGACCCCATTAATTATAGGCTACATGGGAGCAAATAGCATAAAGCATCTGTCAGAAGCACCAAAGGTGGTGGCAGTTTCCACAGTTGCATCGAGACCCATGAGATCAGAACCCAAAGCTCAGAAGTCTACGAGCTGCAGAATTTATTTTCCCTAATTTGTCTAGCAACTTTTCAGGTTTAAGTCATAGGTGTTCTTTCACAAAACGCTCAGTCACTCGACTTAACAGTATATTCTGTGAAGCACTTTGAAGTGTCATGAAAGGCGCTATATACCAAAGATAAAGATTATAATGATGGGTCAGATACCTTGATTAAATATTTCCTGATGATCTCGTATTTCTCCAAAGTGAGGGGGCCGATGATCTCAGGGATAACTTCCAAACTCTCCAGCGTCTGAGCATGGGCTCGGCTCTTGAAATCTGGGCTGGACGAATCAAACGGAACAATCCATCAGCTTTAGAGCCACCAGCATTCCCACATTCCTCAGCTCGTGAGAATCTGGCTAATTGAGTACTGGCACACAAACAAAGTGAAACCTTATTCTAATCTTAACAGGCCAGGGGACATCACAAGAACAACATGCATTTATTTGGCACTATTCATGCCAGTTAGTGACACAATGCACTGTACAGTAGCTGGCTTGGGTGCCAAGCAAGTGAGGAGGAGAAGGTTGATCATAGACATGGTTGAAGAGATTAGTCTTAAGGTGGGAAGTAAAGGTAGAGAAAGAGGGAGCGCAGCAGTGGGAACGAAAGAAAGGCACAGAAGGATTTGATTGCAGATAAATGTCAGGTGACACATGCTGGAAGACGAAAGAATGAACATGTCTTGTCAATTGGGAAAGATAATACAATAATACTTGCATTTGATATAGCGCTTTTCACATCTTAACGTCTCAAAGCGCTTCAGAATATACTGTAAAGTGAATTGACTGTATAATTGTGGGCGAAACGCGGCAGTCAATTGCATCAACAACAACAACAACAACAAAATTACATCTGCGTAGCGCCTTTCACGTGCGAGTAAGAAATGGATTGGGTGCAAATTCTTCATTCAATGAAGGTTTGCAATCAATGCTGCCAATACAGCTAATCGTAGAGCAATTCAGAAAAAAACTTAACAGAGTGATAAAAATGAAGAGGTAGATTTGCGTGAGAGGGAATCAGATATTTAGCAAATAATTCAATGGTCTGGGCGGAGAAACCAGTGGGTGCACTTTATACATTCCTCCATTTCTAGCATATTTGTCACCTTCTATGTATCTGGATCTTCCACTATATGTGTTGCTGAGGTTGAATGCAGGCAAGGATAAGTTAAGTGTGTATGGAGTTATTTACCTGTCCTTGTGCTCCCGCTGACTTGTTGTGAGGCAGACTGCAATATTATCCCAGGCCTGATCCAAGTCGCCCTGCCCTGTGTTTTCACAGCCAAGCTGGCTCCAACATTCATCAAAAATAGCTTTCCATTTCTCGTCAGCCAGCACTGCCAGGTTACCCAGCTTCCTGCAAACATATCGGAGAAACAATTTGCATTTGTACACCACCTTAAGTCAAAATTTGTCAAAGGTCTTCACAATTACTTTGAAGTGTCGTGACTTTTTGCAGGCAAATGCAACAGTCACTTGGATCGGCAAGGTACCACTGATAGCCGTAAGATAAACGACCAATTGACCTGAGGGATTGTTGGGCAGGACACTGGGGAAAACCCCCTCTCTTTTGGAATATGGTCCTAGTACTTTTAACATCCATTGGGAAACCAGGCAGACTGGACTTGGTTCAATGTCTCATCCAAAAGATGTCATCATCTGCAAAAACACAGGACTCTTTCCTCTCGCCCCGTACTGCATGTATTGGAGTGCCTGCACTGCTGAACTCTTGAATCTATAACCCACCAGTAATTGAGCAGTGAGTGATCTCCCAAAACATCCAGACATTGGGCTGTGCAACACAAAGTTTTTGGTCGTAACTAGGTCCAATTTGCAGAAACAACAACAAATTACATTTGTATAGCGTCTTTCATGTTGGGAGGACATCCACTGGACAGTCAAGGATTTACACCTGAGCTGGGGGGTGGGAGGGTGATCGAAGGTGCGGTTGAAGAGGAAGGTGTTGAGACGGGCCTTGAAGGAGGCAAAGAAGGGGCCGAGGCGAAGGGACTGTGGGATGGAGTTCCAAAATAATAATCCTTGTATTTGATATAGTGCCTTATCACATCGTTGAGATATCTCAAAGCGCTTCACAGTATATACTGTAAAGTGAATTGACTGTAATATTATGTGGGTAAAACACACATAGAATGGGTTGCACAAATTTGAGCCTTCTCGGTCAGTGTGAGCAGCAGTCTGGGTGTGTGACAAAGCCTGCGGAGCAAAACAGACCACTGTGGGTAGGTGGTATATGGCTTGCTGGCCTTTGCATTCCCACTCGGGCGACTTTTAGAAACTGCGATTCGTGCTTCCCATCCAGTTTGCAGATCTCACAAGTAAGACCAAGGAAGACAACTTACAACACACGTGCTTTCTCCTTGTCACACTCGTACAGATTAGACTTGAAGTACGTGCCAGCAATTTTGATCCCCGATCCCCACTCTCCGCTGAACGTCCCTTCAAAGTAGTCACCGTTCGGCATGGTGAGGATTCCCTGGAGATTAAAACAAGTCACCAAGTTGTTGTTGTGAGAAGCAAACAGATCATATTTGAAGTTTGTGCTTTTTTTTCCTTCAGTTTGTATCAAGGAAATACAAAATCGTCAAAGCAGCCCCAAAAGCCTCCAGTCCAGCCCTAGATTTCTCTCCAGCAATATCTGAACAGCAGCAATAAATTGCATTTTTATAGCGGCTTTCACATTGGGAGTCAAGGTTTTGGCCCCAATTGCGGGCTGGAGTCGAGAGGGGTGGAGGGCAAGGGGGTTGGGGTGGTGGGAGATGACAGAAGGTGCGGTCGAAGAGGAAGGTCTTGAGACGGGCATATCAAAACCTTTCAAGACCAAGATGAACGGCCTATCACTGATGGCCTGTACAAAAGCTAATGGTTTCTTGTGAATTTCTATGCAACTGTGCAGGTCAAAAGGATGTCAATAATGGAAGAATTTTGCTTACAACTTCTAAGAACAGTCGTTTGCCATCTGGTGCCCAGGCAGCCTTATACTTACACCACAATGTTGAATGGTAAAGCAATGGAGCAATCAGAAGCTGTGGTAAGTCTTGAGGAGTCTATAGGTAGCAGATAGGAAGGAGGTGGGACTGAAAATAATCCAAGGCATAGAAACCTTCAATGTGCACTCCTGCTAACACGCTAAGCTCACCTCCTGCCTTCGCTCAGCACTACCCGATAACTTATCAGAACCTCATCATCTGGGGATAGGTCAGAGCGTAATTTGGGGACGAACTGGGTCTATGATGCTTCACGTGCCTGAGCAGCACCTGATAATCTTATACTCGACAATGCCACAGAGTCAGTGCCAGCCAAACATGTCTCCAACTGCTCCTTGATTTGGATCCCATGTTTGAGGCAGTCGGTTCCATCCATCACCCTTACCCACAACCAAATTGCATCAATTTTGTGGAAAAGTGATCGTATTACCTTTCCATTCAGCATCCAGTCATCGGAGAACTCTCCTTCATATCTTGTGTCATCCTCAGAAAGCAATATACCATAGCCCTTAGGAGGTAAAAAAAACACACATCTGTTGACAAATACTTCAACACCACCAATTCTCACACACAAACCTTCCCCCCTCCACCCCTAGAAATTTTGCAATGGAAGTCATTTGGCTCACTGAGCTCACTCCATCACACACCATCCCATGACACTGTACATCACAGACTATTGTTCCAATTTTTTTCATCTTCTCACCACGTCCTTGAATATTTCTACTTCTGGAGTTTCTATCCATTTCCCTCTCCGACCCCTCAAATTATTCCACATCTACAGCTCGCTGAGGGAAGGTCAATCCGAACTCTTATCGAGAAGAAATTCATTCCAGCCTCAATCCTAACCCATTTAACCATCACTTCAAGGTTACGCCCTCCGTTAATTACCATTTACATTAGTAGCATTGAACATGAACTCACTGTCATTTTGTTGTTGCTGAAGGCACCTTCATAGTACAGGCCAAACTGGGTAACCACCACTCCACTGCCATGGCGACTGTCATCCAACCACATCCCCATGTACTTCTCCCCTCTAAAAGAAGTGGGCAAACAGATTTGTAGAATTAAGTGCCTCGATCATAAAACAACTGGCATTGTGGGAATACTGTCTGGTAACTAATTCAAAACAGAGAATGTCATATAAAATAATAATCCTTCCATTTGATATAGCGACTCATCATGTCATTGAGACTTCTCAAAGCTCTACACAGGAGCTTACTGTTAAGTGGAGTAACTGTGTATTTCGTGGGCGAATGTGGCAGCCAATTTGCAAAGAGCAATGTCCCACAAACAGCCATGAAATGAGTGACCAATTCCACCAATTTTTTTTAGGGGCGGAGGGGGAGGAGGGATTGTTGGCCAGGACATTGGGAGAAACTGCCTTCTGTTTTCAAATAGTGCCACGGATCTTTAACATCCACCTGCACAGGCAGTCGAGACTTCAAGTTAACATCTCATCTAAAGGACGACACCTCCAACAATGCAATGTACCCCCATACTGCATTGAAGCATCAGCATAGACTAAATGGATTTCAAGGCCTTACGTGGGGTTTGAACCCACAATTTTCTGACTCAGGCGAGAATGCTACTGAGCCACTGACTGACATAGGATGTACAACCACATTCAGTACAATGGACGCAACTTTAAGGAAACTTCCAATTCCTATTTGCACAGTTATACATAATCTCAGTTGTAAGGTGTGCTGCATTGACCACTGATGGGGTGGGTATATCAGCCTGCCCCAAGGCTACATACCAGGATGCTGTTCACCCACAGTGCGTTAAAGCATTTTGTTCTTGTTCAAGGACCAGGGCAAAAACCCAATCAGATTCTTGATCAGTGACAAATGGAAAATATTTCAGAATGAGAAGTGAACCATTGCTGACTGACAACCCCCTTTGTCTGACCTCAGTCACCATTTTCAATAAAGTTATCTGCGTCATGTAGATAATACCCTGTGATTAAACAGGTTGAATGCTTTGAATTGCAGTTAAGGGGGCAAATGCAAGTCTACAATCCTGGACAAACACGACAGCCAGTCTGGCTCATTCGCAGGACTTGGAGGGGCAGAATAGTCTCTGGGGCAGGGAATCCTCCCATTCAGCTCCTGTTAACCCTGCAAGCCAAATTCCTAACGGGTAGGGTGATCCTAGCTGGACAAGCAGCGGGAAAGCTTGCCAGACAGACGATAAGTTACTGTATAGATAGAAGGAATTCTATATATGGGACAGATCAACTCAACCCACGCCACTCTCAACACCAGTTTCTGTGCCCAAGAGGGATACAACGCTTCTCTGGTTAACAGCATGTGTGCCCCACAGACACATGTTCTCACATACGAACATGAACTCCCACAGACACAGAAATGTGCCGCCACATACACTGGCAACAATTTACATTATATTACGTATATTATATAAACATTATTATTATAATAATGCACACATTTCACTTCTGATGCATTGAAATGTGACAACGCTCAGTATTTTGATGCATCTAAACCCGATAAGCAGCATCGAACTCAACAAACCGGCTGGTGATGTGGGGGCGGGTGGGGGGAGGAGGGAAGAGGAGTTTCTACCGCAGCAAATAGAAATAGGGTCTCACCACCAACAACAACTTTCAGTTATCTAGCGCCCTTCAAGCAGGGCAGCATCTTGGATCGCTGAGAGTTCACCATCGACATGAAGAATGAAATGGCTCTTCATGCTGATCACTGAGGGAAAAGGCTCAGCTCAGAAACGCACGGTGAACTGGGCTCACTTGCAAATGGACAATTTATGAAACCTGCTGCACAAGAGACGTTCGCAGCAGAAAAAGTGTCCGGATATAATTTCTCACTGGAGGGAAATCTGTTCCTGCTCCCTCACAGCACAGTTTGGGAAAGCTGACGGTAAAACTGTTGTGAATCAACAAAATCGCCCGCCACGCTTCAATGGTGAAGAATTACACCACATTCATCTTGTTTACAAGCCCAACCTCTGTTGTTTAGTTCCTGCACACCTGCAGAGCACAAGCTGCTCCATGGCGGAGAGGAATGAAACATGAGAAAGAAAACTTCCAATAAGCCCAGGTGGATAATAAGTGGGCTTCTGAGACAGTTTAAGATTCAACACATGCAGTCCTGCAGAAGTTGTTTGCTCAGGTCTCTGCTGCATAAAGCTTACAAATTCTGCTTTAAAACCTTTTTAAGATTATCTAGACACGTACAGTGCAAGGCATTGCAGAGACAAATCTACTACTTGGAACACAGCCAGCCAAAACAGTCTGCTGTAAATTTCAGAAGCAGCACTGTGGCCAACAGAACTGCTCAAGATGAAGCAGCTCAACACCTTCCTGTGTGGTTGATATTAAACGACAAGAGCAAAGGAACCAATTTCATACAAACAAATCACATCAACAAACAGTGAATGGAGTCCTTTCACTGACCGATGTCCAGGTGTTTAACAGCTGGACTGTTGCACAATTGAATATTCTATCAACCACTACTGTCAGCAACTTGCCACTGCACCAGTTAACAATTTGCAGGTTTTCAAGGAAAAATTTTAATGGTTAGCGAGGTGCAAATCAACGACACAATTGAGGAAGGATCTGTCCTCCTCTACCATGTACATTTGTGCCTTACAATAATAAAAAATATTGGCACCCTGAACACTTTTCCTTTCTGATTGGATCACCGAAGGCATCAATTCTCTCTCTCAGTTTATAATCAGTATTCCAGCCTCCTCCACCCTTCCTGGTAACCTGCTGAAGGGCAAGAGTAGTCTCTGTGCAAAGAAATATTTCCTGGAGTCCATCCTGAATTTGCTCTGCAGATTCCAGAACCTGTGTCTTTTTGTCCTGTTGCCTTGTTGCATTGCAAAGTGTTGTTCTGGGATTATTTTTTCTTTCTATTTCGTACTTTAAGATCTCCTTTCAGAAGTTTCTTTTCAAGGTTGAAGAGCCCCAGTTAGTTGTTGCTCACAGCTCAGCTTCCTAACATGGGGGAATCCACTTCACTGAGCAGTCAGAGATCCACACACTATGCTCTCAGCATTACTGGTGTTGAGGAGCTAAACAGTCCAAGCAATACTGCATTCCTGCATTTGATTTTGTGCCTTGCCAAAATGTCTCAAAGTGCTTAACAGGATTCACTATGAAGTTAGGTACTGAGTATTTGTAAGCAAATGAATATACTGTACTCTCCAGATGAATGCAGTCCTCAAAAATTAATCTGAAAAGGTTGACTTTAGTAATGCTGGTGTGACCTCATCAAATTTTACATGGAACAAGGAAGAGGGACATGCACAGGATTGAGGAGTAGAGATCTTCAAGGACGAGAGGGAGACGACCTCTCGACTAACTCTTCAGGACTCGGGCAGCCTTCGGGGTAGAGTACAGCTCGCCTGTATTTCACTTAGTTTTATGGAAGTCAAGGAAGAATCGTCTGAAATGTACTGAAGAATGGGTACCACGTTTGATCAAAATGTTGTGTTTGATTGTTGTGGACCAGACCATCACTTTTGAATGGCTAGCCATTTATTAAAAAAAGTCTGAAAGTGAATATGTTTATTCATAAAAAGAAGTCTCCATGCAGAAGTTAGAAGTACTCCATCTATGTTAATGTGGCTTGTGATGTCAGTACTGCTGTTGGCATTTGCTCACTAATGGGGAGGGAGCCTGAGGTGTAGTTAATTGGAAGCCAGCCAAAGGTACAAAGCAACTTGGAGGATGAAGTTATAACAATGTTTTAATAGCAAATGCTATTCCAGGTGACTTTGTCTCGAAGAATGACCCAAGACCCTGATAGCATGGATGAATATTAAAACAACGCTGCTTCAGCAAGCAATTAAACCTCTCTATATAAAACTGCCAACTTAACACAACTTTAGCAGGCTTAGATAGGCTCGGGCCGTGCTGTTATTAGACAGTTTCAGTCAGTAGAGAGCAAGCAATTATAGGTGTGAGTTGCAAAGAAACTTAAATCTTGGAAGCTGAAGTAATGAACAATGGACATTGGGTGATATGCAAGGGTTGCACTTGGAATAAAGAAATTGCTTTGGAAACAGATACCTGTTCAACGTAGCCCCCATCTGGATCCAGTTAGGAATTAATCTACATTGGGTAAAATATTTGCAGAGTGGAATATTCAGCTAGATTTGGATTTTATTGGATTATTCATCAATAATAAAATCAGGTAACTCTGCAACTCCATCGAGTGTTCAATTCCCATCTATTGCATGTAGTAAGTTTGAGTCCCAATGGAAACCAGTCACTCGAACTTGCTACACGCCACCGTTGGGTGGTTGGTTGGATTCACCACTGAGTTTTGTCAGTTCTTGGCAAGCCCAGGCCAGGGTGCTGGATGAAATACCATGCACAAATGTGGTGTTCCATGCTGTGGGTGGGGGAGCGAGAAGGAGCATGAAGAACAGGGAGGAAGGGACGTAATAAAATACGGGCACTAACGCGCTCACCCTGAACCTCCTGCTGTCTGATCGCGGAGCTGCACAGATGACGGTGGATGAGAAGCCCATCGCCAGGACCATCCCACCCTCCTGGCAGGGGAAGGACGCGCGATGGTGGGCGTCCTGAAAGGGGACAAAGAGAATCAGAAAAGCGGAGGGGGGGGAGAAGGGGAGGTGGGGGGAGAAACCACAATGAAATAAAGGGCATAACAGCCTGTTTCAAGGTGAGTTAGCAAGTTAAGGAGATCAAGTGTATATCTATCTTTACTCCAAGTCAGTACAAGAAAGTGATTTGGATCAGGGTCCATGGGTTTGCAGAAATATCAGATGAACATGAGTGCCATTAGGAGCAATTGGGACTCAACATTGATTCTACCAGGGGAAATGCAGGAAACTTGCATTGGGATAGATGGTTTCATTGGAGGAGCAAACAACACTGATTCAGTTGGTTGAGTGGCTCCAGCTGTCTCATAGATTTCAATTATGAGAGAAAAAGAGATCATGTGAAAGGAATGACTGATCCAAGAATTAGTACGACCTAAGTTATAGGACCGTATTTCACACCAATGCCTCTCTCTGACCTGCTTGTACCGAAGTCTACTGCTCATCCAGTTTCTCAGCAGATTCGGGCCGACCGCACATCCCCTGATCTCTCAGCATCACCATTTGTGGCCATCATTTCTGCCACTCCGCCCTAACCTTTTGCTCCATCTTTCCGCCTTACATCACCTTTATTTATCTTTAAATCCCTGCTTATTCTTCGACCCTGCCTATGGTCACCTCTCCCTCACTCAGTGTTCATCCCCACCATTGTGCAGCACTCCGAGACACTAATGCGCGAAGGGCGCTATATAAATGCAAGTTGTTGTTGCTGCTGCTGCACTGGACACTACAAATGATGGTGAAATCGTATAATGCTAGGCTACAGCAACACCCCCAGCCTTGGGCATAGAATCAAACACAAAATCCAGGATAATAAAATTGAAGCAAGAACCTGCATTATCATGGTGCCTTATCTTGTGATAAATGTCAAATATAGTTCCTTTTCTCAAGGCAAATGCGAGATCCTGCAAACAGTCAGGAGAAGAACAACCAATTAATCTGGAGCATTGGTAGCCAGGACACCGGGAGACATTTGTTAATCTTTTCAAATAGTTGCAAATGGACAATGCATACAGTACTATTCACAAATTGCATTTGTATTCCTAAGGTAAGAAGGTGAAGTCAAGAAGCCTGATAATGGTACACCGCTTTCAGTGCCACTGCTCCCTTCATCCTGACACTGGATATCCTCCAAATCACCCCTTTGGCCGCCCTCCCAGGTCCGTTTCTGAAGGAAATGCGCTCTCTGTGAACCAAATATCAAGTGCACTTAGCCTCACCTCTCCAGCTGCCTAACATCAGCATGCACCAAAATATCACTGATGATAATAATAATAATCCTTGCATTTTATATTGCACTTTGTCATATCTTCAAGACATCTCAAAGCACTTCACAGAATATACTGTCAAGTGAATTGACTGTATATTTTGTGGGCAAAATACAGCACTCAATTTCGCACAGCAGTGTCCCACAAACAGTCACGGATTGAAGTGACCGATTTATTCTTACTTTTTTTTGAAGGAATTATTACCCCCGGAAAAACGATCCACCAATCGACTAAAAACTGGATTCCTACTTACTGCTAAATAAACAGTGTGTGGAGGAAGGAACCTTGTCTAATGTTTTGCGCTGATGTGCTTGGAGCTCTTTGTGAGAACACAATAAGGGACTATTAGTGTGTTAATCACCCTACTTGCATATCATCATAAGGACGCGATGCAAAGAATTGAGTAATTTCTTTGTCATAGGGGACTATAGGAAGCATTAGTATTAAGTACAATTCATTCCAAGGGTTCAATCAATTTTTCATGCATCATTAATAATAGCCGTGGTGCTTCAACTTCACTTTTGAAGATCTTCCTTGCACATAAACAATCTACGGATACATAAGAATTGGGGCAGCGAAAGATGAGCGACATCGGGGCTGTCAACGCAGCATTTCAGTCAAGTTCCACAGAAATTAATTGCGTTTTAAAAAAAAAAGCCTTCACCTCGTGATATCATCAAAGACGCCATATCCCATCTTCTTGTCCTGCACCCATTGGCCGATGAACATGCTGGGGGAGGAAGATGTCATCTTGCCACTGCGCAGCAAGCCGTGTCCGTGCCGCATGTGCTCTTGGAAAGAGCCCTCGAACACTTCTCCTGTGGCAAACCTGAATACGAAGAGAAAAGACACAGATTTGCATCACTGATAAAAGACAGTTAGCATCTCAATACACACACTCATTGAGAAGCTCAAGGAATATTGTTGTGGAGCAGAAGCCATTATTAAGGGCCATGAATCAACTGGTCTATTTTGCTCTTTATTTGTGAGATTTGGATTCAGTCACCATCAATTGCTTTAATTGTGTGGGTTGTTCAACTGCACACACAACAAGGTTTCTTTCAGTCTTGCTGGCGTTTGGTTAGCTCCAGCAAAACGCAATTTCAGTCGACAGGAAGTCTAAAGCCATGGCTTACAAACCTCCTTTTTTTTCAACAAAATGTAAATAATAGTTTAATAAACTGACCCTAATGCAATGGACTGTTATATCAGTGTTGCGGTGACCAGCAAACCATAGAACAGTCACCGCTCAGGGAGTCCATTGATTTCTGACTGCACTGGTCTTTGTTGAACTGTTAAACAGGCTGTTAAATGAATACTGGCAACACTGTGCAAGGCACAGGTCATGCAGTGCAGTGCTGTTTCACAGCACTTTGGCCAATGAATCTGGATGGAAGAAATCAACAAATGTGTGACGGAGATGAAGACAAGGAAAGAGATTTTCATTGGGCTCTGAACTGCTGAACAAATTAACAGGTTCCCCAACATTAAACTGAAAAGTGTTGTGATTATAAATTATTATTGATGCTGAATCCTTCAAACCAAGGTCAGCAAACTGAACAATAACCTCTGCGACACAAGCTGTACCAACTTACTTGTAAATCCCATATCCATTCATCTTGCCTTCTTTCCAATGGCCCTGATAGTGATCATTTTTTTTCAGAGCTTTATTGGCCACGATATACACTCCAAACCTGAGAAAGTGTCATAAAAACCAGAGAATGAACCTTCACCATGGTAAATTTCACTCCCTAAAGCAGCAGTGAAATACTACCCCTTCAAAATAAAGTCAACAGGCATCCACATTAGCTCAACCTATAAAGACAGCACTGTTTCTCAAAAATATAATCATCCTTGCATTTGATATGGCACCTTGTGCCAAAGCACTTCACAGCATTTACTGTAAAGTCCAGTGACTGTTAGTTAGCAATTTCATCTGGGGGATTCTTGGCCAGGACAAGAGGAAAAACTCTCATTTTCAAATGATAACAACGATAATAAAGCTTGCATTTGATATAATGCCTTATCACATCGTCAAGAGATCTCAAAGTACTTGACAGGATTTACTGTAAAGCGTAGGGACTGTTTATCAGCAAACACCCACATCCACAAACAGCCATGAAGTGAATGAGCAATTTTATCTGTGGAATTGCCAGCAAGGACACTGGAAGAAACTCCCTTCACTTTGAGTAATACCATGGGACCTTAAATATCCACCTGAATGGAGACAGGACCTCTATTATCGTATCACCTGAAAGACTGCACCCCTGGCAGTACAAGTTCAAGTTTGACATGGGGCTTTAAATAACCATCTGACCTTGAAGTGAAAGAGCGACCAAACAAGGCAGGCCATGATATACACTCCAAACCTGAGAAAGTGTCATAAAAAGAGAATGAACCTTCACCATGATAAATCCTGAGCAGAATATTCACATGCAATTCGCTCTTCTTTTGGGTTGAAAGGCTGTAGATGGACCAATGGTCTACTTCAGCTTGAAATAGTTGCTATTACTCTACACTTTTTAAGCAGATCTCGTACTTACCCATCTTCCAAACCATTTTTGAAGTCTCCAGAATACATTCTGCCATCTGTCCACTTCAGGACTCCCCTGGCAACGAGTGAGAACGACAAACATGAGGACATTTGCAGAATCCCCCCACCACCACCACAAAAACAGCAATTGGGCGAAAAATAATAGTTTCCAAATTACTTGAAATTTCGAATTGAATGCTTTCACATTTCTTTTCACTTCCTTTTTTGGGGCACATTTTAAAAAAAAGTCCCCTGCTTTTTTTTCTAAAAGCAATGTACAATGAGTCAGTACAAGTACCCACTTGCCGTGTGGTTTCCCAGCCAGCCAGCGACCCTCGTACGTGGCTTCCTTCAACCGCAGGTCCTTGTAGAAGGTGTAACCGGCAGTGCGCGAAATTGGGGGCTCTGCTCTCAGGACACTCCCAGACCCAGGAACCAGTATGTCTGGAGCACCATTCAGCGCGTGATCCACAGCCAAGTTAATTGCTCTCAGCCACTTCGTCTGAAATGGACAAAATTTAATTTGATTAAACAACATTTCCTAATATGTATTCCAGAATGTACATTTCCAATGCTGTACAGATCTGGCTCCGGGATTCTGTATTTGCCCCATATTTACGATAAACATTTATTGAGAGACACTGAGTTGCAGTAGAGTTGAAATACAACTGAACACCAACAACTTGCATTTATATAGCGCCCTTCATGCCAAGCGGCGTCTCGGAGCATTTTATAGAACACCTTTCATTCACATATAGAACACCTTTCACCAAAAATTACTCCCTTGAAATGTTTTACAAGGTGGCACATCGATAAGAAAACCCTAGTCACCTCCCCCCTTGGCTTCCGATACCATCCCCCTCAAGTGAGCTCCTACATTATCCTACATGAAGGTACTGTATAAACACAAGTTGTTATTGCAAAGTAAAATTCGATTGGAAGTGAACGTGTGTATATAGGCAAACGAGATAGCTAAGCTACACCAGTAACATCATGTCAAACAATGAGATAAATAGATAATTAATCTGAATGAGGGGGAAGGGGTGTATAAATATGGATGAAGAGCAGATATCACAAAATTATAAGATAGTTTGGATGAGGAAGGCCCTTCGGCCTATCTGACCTCATCACTTGAGAATACCTTCCCAACTGTCTTTTACATTTGTTAATAATAATAATCCTTGCATTTGGTATAGTGCCTTATCACGTCTTTGATATGTATCAAAGCGTTTTAAAGAATATATTGTAAAGTGAATTGACTGTATATTTTTGCGAAATTACAATCTTATATTTATGCCACCTCACCAAGTGGAAACGGATCATTAATATGCACCTTATCAAACCCCTTCATAAACATCTCTATTAGGTTCCCACCCTCATCTCATCTCCAGATAGGTGGGGGAGGAAAAGAGGCTTAACCTGTCCAGTCTTTCCTGAGAGTTACTGTCTCTCATTCCTAACATCCTAGTAAATCAACACTGAACTCTCTCCATACCAGAAGAACCTGCAGCAAAAAGGGCTTGAAACAGGGCTCCACTACTGGTGTAATGTGACTTGGAATACTGCCTTCAGATTACAAGGCCGAATTCCAGACACTCACTGCCTTGGGCTGCTCTCTGGTATGTAAGATGAATGCAGCATTAGGATCACAGACCAATGTCATTGATCGGGAACAGCTGCCTCATAAAATATCTCAGCCAGCTCCATATTCTTTCACACAACTTCCTCAAAGAAGCACATCGCATTCGAGTCAAAGAGTGAGCACAAAACAAACAGCACTGAACATCCCAGAAAACAAATAAGTGCCGTAGGTCCACAGCCCATCAATCGAGCAGCAACTGCCTGAAACCCTGCAATTTTTCATTTCTACAGAGCTTTACAATAGTAACAACTTGCATTTATATAGCGCCCTTCACTTGAGTTTTATTTTACTCAGAAGCACTTTACCGAACACATTCACAGGCATGGCATGTTACCTTTTCTTGAGCCGTTGCTGCAGTGAGGATGAACTGCTCTTCAGGAGTGGTCACTTTCAGGCCGTTTCTATTGAAAACACAGAAAAGTTACAGGTAACAGACTGTCAGATCCAGCACCAGAAACCCTTCCCCTCTGCATTTCACCAGGTCATACTCTGCTCTGGAAATCAAAAAAGTGCTTCAGCAAATCATGTGAAACACTCACATGCTTTCCATTTCCTCTGAGAGAAGCTCCACTCAGAGCGTAATTAAAAGAAAATTGTGATGTGAAAGCGACAATTGTGCTCCAACACAAAAGTCCAAAAGTAACCAACAGAATACTGCTGCCTCAAAACGTTTATTCGAGTGAAGGGAGCAATGTGGGGAATTGGATCTCCATTATCCTGATCTAAAAACAACATGGTCTTATACTGCTGTTTCTCAAATGCTCAGCTCCTGTCAGTACCTTCGCAGTGAAGCATTCAGTGAAGGAGACACTCTCTGTTCATTGGAAGTAAAAGATCTACCATGATCTAATAAGCTGCCAGAATAGGCCTCCTTTTCCTATATTCTGACCCCACAGCATGGGGGAATTGTCCATCAGGGCTGCTCTTGAGCACCTCTTAGCAGCTGACTAGAGAATGGGAATAGAGAACAGGGCTTCACTGCCAAGGTGGATTTGCAAAACAATTTGCACATGCACTCGGTCCTGTTAACATGATTATACTTGGGTAAAAAAGACAAGGATAATCCTGTCAACAGGAACTAATGCAGGTTCAAATCCAGTCCACGTTGGCGAAGAATAAGAACATTTCTACATCCATTCCTCTCTTTGTAAACCTATTCCTGACAAAGTGAGGCACTCACATGCTTCCAGTATCCTCTGAGAGAGGCTCTACCCAGAGCGTTGTTAAAGGGAAAATGTGATGTGTTGAAAACTGAAAAGGAAGAAGAGAAGACTTAGAAGAGAAGCTATGGGTACACATAGGACACTTCCCCTCGCCAAATGCAAACCCAGACACAGTCTACAAAATGATCTATGCTCACTGATCTGTGGGAGACACCACTTGGACAGCAGCAACCATCAGAGGGGTCCACTGCATCGAGGGGACATGGGCAAATGTTCTGGTTAATTTGATTACACGCTTCTACATTTGATTTACAAGACCCTACCCTTTCCCCAGTTCTCCAATCCACAAGGTTTATTCCAGCGCTCAGTACTCCACGTGAGAACATGATCATTTACACTTCGGTACTTCACGGTCAGTCAGTGGTTGGTGAGGAGAGGGGCTAGGGCTGGGGAGGAGAAAGGGTTTGGCTGGCGAGGAGAAAGATCACAAGAGCAGTTTCAATGAAGAACGCCTATTTGTCCAACTGATCCCATTCTTTCAGAATACCAATGCTTACTTCCTTCTAATTGCAGGATCAAGCCATTTATTTAATGCATCTAACATCCTGCCTGCTACCATCCTTCCTTATAATCCATTCCTGTGGCCACACTGCACTGGAATGTGGGCTCAACTCCGCTCTGGCTGGCCTGGAAACCCAATTCAGCTGGTGAAGAGATACTGCAGAACACACATTCTGGATGGAGTTCGGAGCACGCCTGCCCAATGCATCCTCCCGGCACAAGCAGAGCAGTGAGACGCAGGCGAATGGTGCCCTGCAGCAAGGCATCTTTCTCTCAGTGCCTTTTCCTACCAGTCAGGATTAACTCACCTGAGCATGAACCAGCGCGTCATTGAAGAGGATGAACCAGTTGACAGAAAATCTCCCGGCGTGTTGCAGCGTCAGCCCCCGGTTGCTGCTCTCACAAATGAGGCGTCGCTCTGGCTTTCTCAGGGAATCCTTGGCAAAAAACAGAGGAAGAACAGCACCATGAGAAGCAAGAATCATTGGCAATGAAAAGGAGTTGACGACACCTGAAAATTAACAAGAAGACTTTTGCCGGCAGCTAACAGATTGGGTTATGATCGGGCATTCCTGATTAAGATCAAAACAGTGGGATCAATCATACTGCACTTAAATAATATTAATAATGATAATCCTTGCATTTGATATAGTGCCTTATCACATTTTCAAGATGGTTCAAAGCACTTCACAGAATTACCTGTATATTTTGTGGGCTATACGTGGCAGCCAATTGCACACGCAGTATCCCACAAACAGTCATGGATTTTATTCACATGGTATTGCATTAACTGCAATACAATGTAGTGCAGAACCACAAAACTTTTGTTTGCAACCACTTTCTGATAATTACTGAATGCGATCCAATCACAACCCAACCGGACTCAAAGTGAACAAGTGCTGGAAACTTGGTGAAAGGTAAATATTTGAACCAACAAACTTAACTCAAGAGGTGCCATGCAACCAAATGGAGCACAGTGCAAGGCACCAACAAGAGTCAATCCCACTCCCAGTATATCCGTGGAGCACCCTGACCTTCCACAATGTGAACCATGGCATTTCTCACATCAGCCATTCTCAGCAGTTGGTGAATAAGATTGTGAATCTGTCCTGTGTTAAACGACAGTGCTGTGCCGGCAGGTCAGCAACATTTAATCTTCAGGTAGTTTATAATTCTCCATTTCTACTTCAATTCGACTCAGTCTTCATTGCATGTTTCTTCAGGGTTATTGAATGTTGGGGGACTTTTAAGCCCACTAAATATTGTTTCACTAAGCCCACTAAAACAAATTGTTTTAAATTAGAATAAAACATGCAATGAAATTGTCTAAGAACAAACTGGAAATAATTAATGACAAAAGTATCCAAATTTAACACACACCGTGCACAAACTAAGAGCACACACGCCACGCACACACACAGCTAAAAAGAGGCAGAAAGAACAGTAGATCTTACCTGCTGAGAGTAAGAATTAAGAGGGTTTTTTTCTACAGAGCTACAAGCATGGGAACATTTCTAACTTGCTAGTGAAGGGTTGCTGAGTTTTCATTACCTGTAGACAAGCCTTTATCAGGCGTATAGAGGGGAGGAGAGGAGGGAGGTGTTGACGCGAGTATACAACAATGCGGCGCACGGATAGCATCTCTGTGTATACTTACACTCACAGCAGAAACATGTCTCATCAGAAAAGCCTAAAAAAAGTTAAACCTGTGTTAACCCTACTTTACTAAACATACAGGCATGCAATAAGGTTTACAACACACAATAGATGTCAGGACCAGCACTGTTAACAGCAGTAAGTAGGAACCCGGTTCTTAGTAGATTGGCGGATCGCTTTCCAGGGGTAATAATCCCTTAAAAAAAAGTGGTCACTCAGTCACAACTGTTTGTGGGACACTGTTGTGTACGATTGGCTGCCTCATTTCACCTACAAAATACAGTCAATTCACTTTACATTTACAGGACACCGAATAAACGCTGGCAACTCAAGCAACGAAGGCTGTCAACTAATACACAGAGCATGTCAAAGTACTGGTACAATTCACCATGAGGTAGGTACTGCATGGCCCATGTTAGTTTTAATGCAAATTCCCACACTTGTGTGTTGCTGTCTATGTTGCATTGATTATTGCACAGTGGGATCGGATAGTGACGTAGGAAACAAACGTCAAATATGCAGCTTCCTGCAAAGGCACGTGCATACTACGGCACATGCACTTGTGCACTTGATACACCTGTGTACGGCTCCCACACTCATGCTGCATGCTTCCTGCGGACTGCATCTCCTTATAATGCAGCCCAATATCTGATTATTATGCTGTATAATAACCTCTGTAGATGAGGGAGCACAAGGCTGGCAAGAAGATACAATTCTGCTGAATGCCAACCAAAGCACATCAGTTGCAAGATTAAGTAAAAGTCACGTCAGGCAAAGTGCTGTGCAACATCTCGAGTTGCAGGGATGATGGATTTATAACATATACCTTCGCTGAGGTACTTTGCATAGCTTCAGAGACACTGGGGATCTAACTCGTGGCATTTCTTTATGGGATTCCTCCCGCTGACTCGTGGAAACTCTACTCTAGAAGTAGACAGTATTGGAGTGGAGTATCAAACACCCAGTTTGATACGATGCACTTTAACTTACGAATTTGTCCCAATTTGCGTAATTCAGATTCCAGGCCCCAGGAAATTTCCCAGATGAAATGGGTCATTCACTTCATGGCTATTTGTTCCACAGCGGGACATTGCTGTGTGCAAACTGGCCTTCACCCTGGTATACAAAAACACAGTCACTACACTTACTGTGAAGTACTTTGGGACAGCCTAATGACATGATAAGGCCCTTTATCATATGCGAGGATGATTATTTATGAGATATTCCTCATTAGAGGAGTCCTGTAGCTCAGTGGTAAGAGCACTCGCTTTGCAAGCGAGAGACCTGAGTTCAATTCCAGGCAGAGGGCGAAACCTTGGGCAAGTTTCCTTACTCCACACAGAGCCTAATAATAATCCCTCCAAAACCAAAAACAATAATAAATTGGTCATTTTCAATCTACGACTGTTTGTGGGACATTGCTGTGCGCAATTGGCTGCCGCGTTCGCCCACAAATATACAGTCAATTCACTTTACAGTGTGTTCTGTGAAGCGCTTTGGGACGCCCTCCCGACGTGAAAAGCGCTATATCAAATGCAAGGATTATTATTATTAAAGTTTCTCGGTAAGAAAAACCCCATTGTTATTCTCCACACTTTTAATTACAGGCTAGATAAAAAAGCTGCTCTGACATCACCAAAGACGATGAGCAGACCAGAAGCTAAGGAGTTATTTAATGGACAAAGTGCTCTTGCAGTCATGGAATTAGTCCCTGAGGCACAGTACAGACGTATTACAGTGCTATATTTCTGCCTCAAACAGTGGGGGGGGGCTTTACATGCATTTCTGTTACAAACAGCACCAAATCTGACCGCATTCATACAGTGAATCCTATTTCATATCAGGATGCTAAACAGTTTATTTTTTGGCATGCCTCAAATTGCTTCAGGATCCCAAGGCCCATGAGTCAGTATTATTTCCTCCTCCTCCCAACTCGTTTGAAAGTCAAAGTAGGCTGGAAACGACAGGTCATCACTTTCACCTTGGCCGAATACGATGACTGGGACAATTCAGTTCCTGCCTGTGACTCTTTTAAATGGGACTTTGCAGCGATGTCATAGCCTCAGCCGCCTGCACTGGACGTTCAGAAAAATGGCTGATACAGAGGACCCTTACCATTAAGGGCACTGATATTTCACCTTTATATTTCACTAAGTATTTCACCTATCAAAATTTAGGATTTTGATCAGTCAGCCAAGTGGAAATCTGGAAGATTTGGGAATAAGTGGCCCAAAATGTGAGCTGCCCACATTGCTGATTTACCCAAAAGGTGCGGTTCCCAATGTCCCTGTGTATGTTCCAGGGCCAGAATGCAAGACCGACCATCACGCTTAATGCGAGGGAACCCAGAGTAGCAGGTGAACTTCAGAGCAGTGCTGAGGGTTGGCAAAGAGAAAGCATTGCTGGTCGTACCCTCTTCCAGAGCTCATGGTATTCCCAGCTAAATCTGTTAATCTCACGGAGGTCTGTAACCCTGGCAGCCACTTGCTTCCATATGGAACACTCGTGGGTGAAGAATGGGCTCCGTACTGAACCCATGACAGAGCAGTGTCTGTATTAGGAACTCATCTTGCAGATAGTTTGCCAACTCCAGGGTTAGAAGTAGAAGGCTTGGCTTCAGTATCCAAGCCTGTGCCCCTACCTTGCTAGATCATTTTTAATACCATTAGGTCTAAAGGGCCAAGTGTATTCATTTAGTGATCAATATCAGAACATCAGTACTGCAAAAATAACAGTGGAAGTGTAAAACTTGTACCAAGTTAAGCAATATGTGCCTCCCGCCCCTCCTACACATGGGCTGATGGTTATTATAGCTTGAGCTGGGTCCTTTCAGCTGCACGGCTTCAGATTGAGTGTTCAGATTCAACCCTCCTGATCTGCTGATACGATACTTATCTGCTGGGACCCAGGGACGTTTAAGTGAACTAACAGGGAAAATACAAATAATGTGTTACCAATTACCCATTCACAAATCCATTCATCATGCCAATTATAGGAGGAGGAGGCATACTGGGCTTCAGAGGTATGGTATATTGAAGGTGGCAAGAGCATTCCCTTCCCATCCCCAACACCACAGCAAAATACATGCAAGAAAAAAGCAAAGTGGGAAGAGGATACCAGATGAGATCACTTGGGGCAGTCGATGATCAAGGTAGTGCACCCATTTCAGCCCACAGAGGCTTCAGCAGAGCAGAGGGCAGCGAGAAAGAACACGCAGGGACCCAGCAGATATATAACATTGAAGTAGAAACTTGGACACCGAGAAGGACTGACACCATCTTCTGGTGGTTGTTCCCATTTATAGAGGCTTGACTGCCACCTGTGTTCTCGTGGCATCAAAATCTATCACTCAGCAATCTGAGAAGTGTTTCATTCGGTAAGAAAGCTGAGCAGCAACTCCCTCCGGTTACTGGAGGCCAACACCAACAACACCTGTGGGAAATCCACACTGGAATTGGGTTGACGTGATGTATTTCCAGTTTCCTCATTAAGGAATCCCATTAGAAATGGTTGCATTTTAGACTCATGATGAATCATCCCTTAACACACACTTCGGACTGTGCCATGTAAAGCAAAGCTCTCAGTGTTTAAACTGCCAGGCACTCAACTGGAATCAGACTCTTGGAATATTATTCATAGGAGCAGTTTTTCATTCCCTGGAGTTTTTTTTTCCTCCAAAGTTGCTACGTACCGTCATTTTGCCTGGGAACGTTTTCCAGAAGATGTAAGTGACCTCTGCCTCCTTCCGTTTTTTCTTCAAGTACAGACCAAGAGCTTCACACAGACTGCTGATCTCCTGAAGGTTCTGATATTCCACAGACACCTTCCATGGACACACAAGCAAAAGTAAAAGTCAGGAACCTCTTCCCTTCTCGACTAACAGCACCAACTCAGAAATTACAGCACAAAAATTACAGCTTGTGTTGTCTTAACTTGGATGGTAGTATTCTAACCTCTGGGTCAGAAGGCTGCGGTTCAAGTCCCACATCAGGAAGGTTAACTCAGTCTAGGCTGACACTCCAGTGCAGAGCTAGGGGAGTGCCGCATTGTCGGAGGATGAAATGTTAAAGCAAGGCCCTGTCTGCCTGTTCAGATCAACGTTAAAGGGAGTTTTTTTACCCAGCGTCCTGGACAACAATCTCTCGGATAAATTGGTAATTAAAAAGAAATGGGGAGGGAATAACTTGCCATTCACCTGCAGCCTTGTTGTTTCTTAAGCATTGTCTGCAAAGGCACACCTTCCTGTCAGTTAACATTGTGACAGGCTCCCCCTGTGCCCCACAATCCCGGACCAGGGTATACAAAGCGCAGACTTCACTTACCACTTCAAAACAAGTTGCAAGTTTCAGTAGCACTCGGGCGTATTCGTGCAGATGTCTGATGGGCATGTAAAAGAGGGCGTGCAACAGCTCAGCCAGAGATGTGTTCTCATCATGTACTTCCGACAGCTGATGGAGCACCTGTAGGTTTTTGTTCAAGAGATCCCTGTAAAACAAGAAGTGTGTCAGTCTGGCGTAGGGGTAGCACTCTTGCCTCCATGTCAGAAGGTTGTGGGCTTAAGCCCCACGTCAAGTCTTGGAATCACATCGTCTTAGCTGACGCTCCGATACAATGCTGGAGGTGTGGCATAGAATTACACCCCCCATCCCACTCCCAAATGAATAATCTGCCCATTCGAATCACAAACCTTCAGTATAACAGAGCTGAGTTATGTAAATCTACTGAACTGAACACTTCTAAAGGGGAATGTTAAGGCAAGGAATAGAAATATACAGAACCTACGAGTAGCTCTGAGTTCACAGGCTCACCTGCGTTGTAAAAAAAAATTCTGCCTGCAGTCATGCTCTATATTGCACGTCGTAACTGAAGCATAAAAAAAGGATTTCCTATCGGCTCAGCAGAGGCAGTCGTCAGTGAGGCAATGGGGGCACGTTCACGGTTCAGGTATCAGGGATCACTGACCACTAACTTACACTTACCCGGTTGGTTTCACCAATAATTGAAAACCACCGACGACCACAAAATTCCCGACCGAGTTGCAGTACCTGAAAGAGTCAAAGAAATGGTCGTGTCATCGGATAAACTGCACCTTTGTTTTGACCAATGGACAAACACAGGTAGGGTTCATGCTACCATGGACCGTGGCCCATAGTATTGGCCGACTGCATGGACCTGGCCTGCGAGCAATGGGAAGGTGCATGCGAGCAATGGGAAGGTGTATGCGGTCAGCGTAATGTACATCGACTTCACATTGCATCTAATCTCAGCAAAGATGAGGTTCTGCAACCAGCCCCCTCACCCGACAATCCTCACAGTATCCCAGAGACTGAAATCCCTCAGGTCTTAGCCTTAATCACATGGTTTTACGATAATGCAAGAACATTGGGGGAAGATAAATCATTTACGTAGTTTTCCGCAGTTCCTTTTGAGAACTTTGGACAAACAGCTTCCAAATTAACAATCAATTTCATAATATTAGGACCATGAGAGATTTCAGGACTCAAGTAGTTGTGAGTGCACATGACAATTTTTGTACCTCTGGACGTGTCCAGCTCCCTTAGGAATGACGTCAGCAGCTGTGCACCAGAAATGCAAATATTTTCTGTTTACATTGACCTTATTGGCGTCTGTCCTGAAAACTGCTCTTTGCAATCCTAAACCTGCGCTTTCTCATTGGATATCTGTCCTATAGCATGTGAGCACAACGTGCATAACCGTTATTTTCGCAAAACCACAACTCTCTTGATCTTTCTGATGTTGGGACACATCCACCCACCCAGCGTTGTTCGGATGGTGCACAGTTTCAAGGATGTAAGCCAGTAAGGTCAGATCAGGTTAAATACACAGCTTTCGAAAGGTTCAAAAGGCCTTTATGTTTGTAGTCTGAAACCTGAGACTCAATCACTGCCATGTAATTTACTCAAGTGGCTGTGAATGCACTTCACACTGGTAAAGACAATATTTATACTCCTGAACTTGTACCTCTCAAATGATCCAAGTTGTTGTTGGACGTGCCCAGGTCCTGTGGGTAGGTCAGCACCCAGGTGAGCACCAGAACTGCACGTTTTACTGATAACGTTACAGAAATTGTCATTGATAAAACTCAATGCACTTGAAGGGCATGTCACAGCAGCCAGACATGCTGCTGCTCCCATTTACACTGGCGTAAGGAACCCAGACCCACGTCACTACCCACCACCCCATGCACTCGGCAGTAACAGTAACAGGCTTGTGTACTTGCTCTTTGAAAGTGTCCAGGAAAACGGATGAGTGCTCCAGCATGGCAAGCGTCTTCACGTCCTTCGAGCTGTGAAGGAATTTGTTCAAGGAAGCACTGTGCTGCCCTATCAGGCAACACAGCTTGCTGAATCTGCTGGCCAAGTCTTGCAGCAACTGTGTTGAGGAGGGACCCAAGGCGGAAGCCAAGTTATCTAAAACACAAAACAAAATTAAAACTCAGAGCAAATGATCAATATTACGAAGGTGTGGATTCTGACTCACTTCTGGACTATTAAATGGCCGTTTGTTTTCCGCCTTTCGCATTTCATTAACGATAAACACAATTATTTATTTCTACTCTGCATCACTAACCCATTTGTCAGAATTCTCTTATTTCGTCAATTCTTTCCCCAAATTCCAATCACACATGTGAAGTCTCGATCTACTGTAAAAGCCACCGGGTCTCATGAAATAACCAAACCATCTGTCATCCCAGTTGCTGCAGTGCGTATTTGCACCAGATAGCGTTCAGTGCTTAAAGGTTTATCGCAGACAAACTTGGGTTATACAGGGAAATAATAATAATTGATATAGCACCTTATCAAGTTGTTGAGATGTTTCAAAGTGTTTTAAGGAACATATATTGTACAGCAGTGTCCCACAAACAGTCAAAAAATTGAGTGACAATTTTTTTTTGAGGGGAGGGGGATTATAATCCCCGGAAAGCGATCCACCAATCAACTAACAACCAGGTTCCTATTTACTGCTAGGTAAACAGAGGCATGTGGAGTAAGGAAACTTGCCTTAGGTTTCGTCCCGGCCAGGAATCAAACCCAGGTCCTCTAACTTGTGAGGCGAGCACACTAAACATTACTCTATGAGACTTCACAATTTTATATTAAATATGGAGAAAATATATTTTTTACATTTAGAAAATTCTATTTTTTTTTAGGAAGATACATTTCTTTCTCACCTAAGCCCAGGAGGGGTTTGAGAATCCGAGACTTCACGTCACTCAGCTTGCAGTAGAATCTTCTTTCCGATGAAGCCAGCTCGTGCAAGCTGGCAATGTAGCCCATGACGTTTCTGTCAGCCAGTGCCAGGCAGCTCTGGCCCCCAGCAAATAGACTGTTAACATAGCCGAACTGAAAGGAAACAAGAGTTATTAATGCTGGCAAGCAGCTTAACAAGACCACATTAACCCTTTCAACAACAAAATGCTCATCTTCTGATCCCTCTCTGACCTCTACATTCCCCTTCTCAACGTTTGGATGAATGTGTTTATTTGCAATGAACTTTCCCCTTCAAACTCCACAGATGCCAGCTTGCGGATTATCAACAAGCTGCTCCTACACATATGGATGGTATTTACTGATTTGAAACGCTGTGCGTTTGACAAGGGGCAGCCTCAGTTGTGCTAAGGTGTCCTCAAGCTGCTGGAAAAGATGGTTGGCAGGCACGTAAAAAAATGTTTTTAAATTGAATCATTTATTATATAAAAAACGTGTGAGGAATTATCTGATCTCGTTCAGGACAGCAATTTAGTGCCCTTATGTTTGGGGTGGGAGAGAAAGAAAGGAAATCAGCCACAGAGAGTCTTGCGAGGGAGGGGTAAATCAAATGACTCAAAAAAGAGTGGGGAAATGAAAGAAAAACTGGCGGAAAAAAACTCATAACCTCACTGGTGCAGTGAAAGAAACTAAGCAAAAGTCCACATCACACACACTAAGCGTAAACTGCTCTGAGAATTTACGGGAACAGACTGCAATTCCACAGTTACCTTGCAAGTAACACTTGTCCTGCTGAAAAAGAGCTCTGGTTATATAAAGTAACCCATGCATTGCTGAACAGCAACCTGTTACACTGCTGAACAATTCAAGTTACCCAGCGAGTAAGCCTTGCACTGTTGACAGCATCCAGTTATACAGAGTAACCCATAAACTGCTGAACACCAACTCACTACTTAGCAAGTAACCCTGACACTGTCCACAGCCTGTAAACCCCAATCAGTGGGGTAAATGGAATTTGGTACAACTATACTTTAAAGAAATAGGAGATAAATTGCCAGTTCTTTAGTACAGTCAGTTTATAATCCTCCGAAAAAAAACTTTGTGCAAACAAGGTCCATAACTTTGCTGTTTTCCTGATGTAGTAATTATATGGTCACTCATTCTACAATTGTTTGTGGGAACCTGATGTGTTGAATTGTCTGCGGGTTTCACCCACAAAATATACAGTCAATTCACTTTACAATATATTCTGTGAAGAGCTTTAAAATGTCTCAAAGACGTGATAAGGCATTAGATCAGATGCAAGGATTATTATTATGTAAACTGCACAACACTCCCGATATAGGTCCAGGGTGAGTGGTTCTTCTGCCCCCTTTCTCAACTCGTATGCATTGTACAATTGCAAACTCACAATATCAAACATTAAATAATAGAGCAGCAGCTAGCTAAACCGTTTAATATTTTATTGCTTTGTTATTGTCAGAGACAGTCAGTGGTACATTCTATCACAGGAAGAGGGGGAGGAGATTGTTTCCTCCAAAATTCAGAAAATGATCCCTGAGAACACTGATCTCTTGCCCTGAAATTCACCTCTTCCTGCTGCTGGGAGTTGAGAAAAGGTTGAGAGAGTTGGAAAGGGGTCAAGGGTAGAAAGCGATCAGTGATAAGGAATAATTGGAAAATAATTTATTCTGGAGGTAACTAAATAGACAAGCCTTTAAGTTAAGCGTCAAACTTTTTTCTGAGGCTTCCAGATCTTAGCAACTCAAACGACATATGAATTAAAACAGTCTTCCAAGGCCCAACTCACCTCCAGAGTGAAAAGTTAAAACACGATATTATAAACTGGACTTCCACAACACAGCAACACCTGGGAGCAGGTCAGAACCCTTGTTGGTTACTCTGGTCAAGGAGATGCAACAATTTCCCAATCCATAGAAAGACTCCCCAAGTTCACAGGGGCTTGACTTGTTCGTAATAAGGAACAAGGTGGGGCGGTGCCATGAAATCTCACCTGGGGCATTTTGGAAAAGCGGGGAGGGGAAGATTGTGTATTGAAATAACTTCTCAACAGGCTGCAGTTGTGTCCAATTAACAGGCAGGAAATGGGTTGCAGTTTTCTCTTCAGCAAATCAGCAGATGTTGTCACTGATGGGCAGTGTGTGGACCTCCTCTACAGATACATCAAGGTGGGAACATTAACTTGCTACTTGGAGGCATGTGGGATATTGTGACTTTGATAATACAGGTGGGTTTGGTGTCTTCTCCTGGGGAGCAAAACCTGTCAGCCCCAAGTGGTCTTGCACAGACCACCATGGTGGAAACAATATTTCTGGGATTGTGTATAGCACTTAGATACTTGTTTTCTTATTATCCTGTCCTGCAGCTCAGTGGTTAGAGCACTCACTTCACAAACAAGAGACCTAGGTTTGATTTCCAGCAGGGCGAAAAGTTGGGCAAGTTTCCAAGCTCCACATGCCTGTTTACCAAGCAGTTAGCAGGAACCTGCTTGTTAGTTGATTGGTGGATAGCTTTTCCGGAGGTAATAGTTGCTTAAAAAGACAGTAAATCAGTCACTCAATCCACGACTGTTTGTAGGACACTGCTATGCACAAATGGCTGCCAGGTTTTGCCCACAAAATATAGTCAATTTGTTCTACAGTATAATCTGTGGAACGCTTTGAGAAATCTTGAAGACGTGATATGGTGCTATATCAAATGTAAGGATTATTATCATCTTAAAATTTTTTCATGGCAACAAGGAAACCATTTTTTTTTAAAAATATTGATTTTGGGTCTTACCAATCCCCTCTACACACACAGTTTGGACAGCACAGAAGCAGACTATTTGGCCCAACTAAGCCATGTTGGTGTTCATACTCCACACGAGTTTCCACCCACTGTTTACTCCCTCCCGTAACCCTCTATTCACTTCTCCTTTGGGTCTATCTGGCTTCCTCTTGCAGGTTTGAATAATGTCACTGGACTATGAGAACCTAGCCCAGGGCCAGTGAGGAGAAACGTGTAGTGTCAGCCTGGATCCGAGTCATAAGGTCCCCATGTTGGGACTGAATGTATAGCCCAGGCTGACACTCCAATTCTGTGCTACGTTGTTGGTTGCCATTCCTTTGGATAAGACATTAAACTGAGGTCATGACTACCTGTTCAGATGGACGTTAAAGATCCCATCAAACCATTCAGAAGCAGAAGATCATTTCTCCTTCGTGTCAAAGATACCCCAAATAAAATTGGTTGTGGATGGTTGTGGGATATTGCTGTATACAAAACTGGCTGTGGCGTTTGACTACAAAATACATAGTCACTGCACTTCACAGCAAATCCCGAGAAGTTCTTTCACATGAAAGGTGCTGGGAATACACAAGTGTTGCGGCCACTTCAGCAAGGAGTCAAACCAGCTTCATGAAGTGACAGGAAAAAAAGTGACAAAAAAAGGAAAAAGCCCATGTGGATTAGATTTACCTACAAATACACAGTCACGGTATATCCTGTGAAGCACTTTGAAACAGCTTCCCAACGTGAAAAGCGCTATACCAAATGCAAATATAATGTTATATTCTTACATTTACCTGGCCACAGAAGGGCAGAAACACTGGCTGCTCGGTGCTCGTGTCATCTGTGACTGGGTTCTCAGAGTCTTGGACCACCTGTCGTCCGCTGTAATAAATGTTCGGCTGGGAGAACTCCCCATCGGTCAAAAAAAGGGAATGTTCCTGTCCTGCTGCAATGTCCCATACACGAACACCCTCTGGAATCTGCACAATAAACCATGGGAAGAAAGGGAAAGAGGAAAAGCAAATGATGGTATTAATGTTATAACTTGTTCTATGAATAATTGGCTTGATGCTTTCATTGCTGGTGTGTGATATCTGCATTGAAAGAAGGTACTGCATTAATGTATTTAAGAGAAAACTTGAAGCATACATGAGGAAGAAGGGAATAGATCAGAGGAATACGTGGGGTGAGGGTTCATGTGGAGTTAGGACAAGTTGGACTGAATGGCCCATTTCCAATAATCTAAGTGCTCTGGGACCCGCATGGCATGGAAGGCGCTATATAAATACAAGTTGTTGTTATGTAACTGAATAATGTGGAAAAAAGCATACAAGTGAATGCAAGATTTCCTCTTACTTTAACAATAAATAACCCATGTTGAAATAGGATTTGAGCTTTCTCACGGTCTGAGACGTGAAGACAATGGCTGGTGAAGCACTTATAATAATAAAGTAATAATTATCCTTGCATTTGAGATAGCGCCTTATCAAGTCTTTGAGATGCCCCAAAGTGCTTCAGAGAATATACTGTAAAGTGAATTGACTGTGTATATTTTGGGCGAACGCGGTAGCCAATTACACACAGCAGTGTCCCACAAACAGTCGTGGATTAAAGTGACAATTTTTTTTTGGAAGGAAGGAATTATTACCCCCCGGAAAAGCGATCCTCCAACTGACTAACAACCAGGTTCCTACTCACTGCTTGGTAAACAGAGCCGTGTGGAGTAAGGAAACTTGCTCAACATTTTGCCCTGCTGGGAATCAAACACATATAGTCTAAAAGGTTGCAGGTTTAATCTCTGGTCTGTGCTGATCTCAGTTAAGCAGTGGTTCAGGCACTATCTGGCATTAGTATCTTTGGGTCAAGGAATGGGTTCCTGCTCCTGATAGCTAACCAAAAACCTGAGAATGATACTTTCTCTAACCTCAGGTTATTGTACCCAACATGTTGCAAGACCCACAGTGGAACACAAAACAACCTCACTGCGTTAAATCCAAAGGTCAGTATCTTCCCTCCAACCCAAAATGTGAAGGCATCAGTAGTTTTGTACTACAAATATAGTTACCTATGTTAGCAATGTGGAACTTCCATACTCACTGTACATGAAGGCAGCTACGTAAAGGTATTTGATGCAGGTTTTAAACTGCTTATGTTTTGAGATAGGGAAATTGAATACATTTTGAAACCATTAAGGTTATGTCCAGATCTATCTTCAGTCTTATTTCATGACTGACCATGACGCCTGTTTATATTTTGCTTCTAGTCAAACAGAATTGTGGTCAAATTGATTTGGCGAAAGATACTTGAAGTATATCACAGGTGCTTATTTATGTAAAAAATATATGGAAATTGGGCAACTTTGGTCTCTCCGCCACCCCCAGTTTGTCAACCTCAAGGATTCCCACATCAGATACAACACAGAGTGAAAGCTTCTCTTCTTCATTCCAAAAACCGCAACCCCAAAGGAACATACCTCCTGCAGCAGTACGTCCACGTCCACACTGGCTCTCTGCTGATTACCAACTTGGTGCCAATTTACAGGCTAGTCTGTGCACACTGATAAAGTTTCATCTCCCCAAATGACTACGATCCAATAACTCACAATGGACTAAGTGTGTATCACTACAACTTGGCTGGATTTGATCCCAGGACTCTTTGTGCAGAGTCATGTCTCTGGTTCCTTTACGCAGTGGCTTGGGTTCACCGTTATGTTACAGGTTTTTTAGACCGTTTTACAGCACATCAGTATTCTTCCAATGTTAAATATGCCAACACCCCTAAAGAGGTCCAGAGGACTCACCTTGGCGAGACGAGGCATTATAGTTGGTGACTCTGTATTACCGAGCTGTCCATAGGTGTTATTGCCCCACGAGTAGACCTGCAGAAGGAGATACACGGCTTTTACTTTGGACATTGCACACAAATAAATGTGCCAAAAAGACATCAGGAGCGTTTTTCCACGGGTTTGGTGTGAATTGAAGTGCCATTTTTTTTTCACCACCCCACTTCCAAAAACCACACCAGTCCAATCGCGTTTCATGGACCCCCAAAGCCAAACAGATATCTCATTGTTCACATTTCTCTACTTTAGTTTATTCTGGCCCTGATCTTTACTCTGCCTCATCTACTGTCTATCTGTGCTCCCTTCCGTCACTCCATTCTATACTTTATTTGGAGGAAGAGGATAAACTTTGTTTAACGTTGCAAGAGAGTGAGGATGTAAAAATCTGGGAATGGTGATTAGAGTATACAGCTCCAGTGGGTGAGTCACCACCAGCATGGGTCTGACAAGCTGAACGTGCTGTCATTCTATAATGTCCCACGTGGTCCCTTCGTCTGACTCTGGTCTTTTCTCAGTCTTGCCCAGCTGCTCAGAAAACCAGGACATGCATGTAGTGAACCTGACCCTCCCCCACCACCCAGCCACAGGCAGTGAAGCAGAAGCAAAACTTCCATCTGATTTATTTTCTACCATTTGCAACCACAGTGTTAAGAGTTCAGCAATTCATAGTCAGATACAGCAGGAGTCAATACAGTTTACATTTATATAATGTAGTGCCTTTCAGTTCGGGAGGACATCTCAATGTGTGAGTCAAATGGAGGGATGGAATAGTGAAGATTTGGACAGTCGTTCCATTTTAGCATGAACCACAGAAGCACAACCACTGCCTCAGGACGAGACCAATTCTGCGGGATGCTTCCATTTCCCACGCCATGAAATGAAACCTTTTTCAATTGAGTGAAAAATTGGTACAGATTCACAGTGTGGATATCTGCTTATCAGAAACAACTCGTAGATTAAAGTGGCCCAAGAACCCTCTCATTTTGGACTTGTTCAGTCAGCAAAGACAGGAGACTTTCACCCCATTTTATCCAGAATTAGTTCAACAAAGGTGGCAAAAGCTGTGCCTTAACGCAGCACAATCTAGACCACTCCAAACTAACTTATTTCTTGCCTGGTAAGCCTAAATTCGCTGTTACATTATCTCTCTTGCAAGTCAGGAGAAGGATGACCAATGAATAAGTGGGTTCCACAGTCTTACCTGGGATTTGGCAGTCAGGGCCAGCGAATGGTAGGCCCCAGCAGCAACCTGGATCACTTCCTTACTGCTCAGGCTCTTGATGCACAGTGGTTGCAACCTGCAAAAATAATAGTTTGTGGGGTTACTGAAATGAGCGAGATCTGAGCAGAGCTCTCCAATGCAACTAACACTCACCCACAACCTGAGTTAATGAAGTTCTGCCTGTGCGTTCAACCCAGAATCACCATATCTCCGAAACGCTGTCAACCACAAATGTAGCTGGGAGCAGGGTTCACCTTGATACGCAACAACAATAAATGACACTTGTATAGTGCCCTTCACGTTGGAAAGACGTCCCAGGATTTGCGGACTATAACATCACAGTACCTGCTGCAAGAGGACATTATTGGGCTGTAGCACCCACCTGTGCAACCCAAGCTCTAGGAGAGCCTCTCCAATTTATGAAGTTTCTGTTCCCGTTGTGGTTGGACATAAATTTGATTCATCATTCTTCAAAGCATGAGGAGGGTTAACTCCCCGCCAACATTGCATGGATATTCAGCTGCACCCCTCTTACCTGGGGAGGACATCTCCATGACCCAGTTGACCCTCTTTGCCCCTTCCCCAGCTCCAGATCTCAGTTTGCAGAGAGGGAAGGTGGGCGTCTGCCTCACTGCTTGGGGTGGGGGTCAGGTTTACTGCTTGCACTCTCACACGTCTTGTTTTTCTTAGCAGCCGAGGCGAGACTGTGAAAGAAGACACCGTCAGATGAACGTTGGGGCAGTGTATTATAGAATCATAATATAGATTATTATTAATTAATAATCCTTACATTTGATATGGCGCCTTTAATAATAATAATTCTTGCATTTGATATAGCGCTTTTCACGTCTTCTAGACGTTTCAAAGCGCTTCACAGAATATACTGTAAAGTGAATTGACTGTATATTTGTGGGCGAACGCGGCAGCCAATTGCGCATAGCAATATCCCACAAACAGTCGTAGATTGAAAATGACCAATTTATTACTGTTTTGTTTTTTTGGAGGGATTATTATTAGGCTCTGTGTGGAGTAAGGAAACTTGCCCAAGGTTTCGCCCTCTGCCTGGAAATGAACTCAGGTCTCTCGCTTGCATAGCAAGTGCTCTAACCACTGAGCTACAGGACTCCACTTTCACAAAGCGTTCACAAGAATATGCTGTAAAGTGCAATGACTGCGAATTTTGTGGGGAACACAGTAGCCAATTTGCATACAGCAATGTCCCGCCAACAGTCATATGGATTGAAAATGACCAATTTATTATTGTTTTGTTTTTTTGGAGGGATTATTATTAGGCGTGTGGAGTAAGGAAACTTGCCCAAGGTTTCACCCTGCCTGGAATTGAACTCGGGTCTCTCACTTGCAAAGCGAGTGCTCTAACCACTGAGCCACAGGACTCCACTTTTATGGTTGGCCAACAAAATCGGGGTGGGGGGGGCACTTCTTGGCAGCCCTGCAGACCACAGGTTGGCAACCACTCGCCTAGACTATCAAACTGCAGCACAGGAGGGGTTCTACTGCTATAATTAGATACTTTAATCCGGATTCGCTGCACTTTCCCGGTGTCCTTCAACATTAATTCTTGCTGAATATTTTGCGGTGGAGAATCGTGTGTAGTACAAACACCAGTGTAGGCGAGCTGGGCCGAATGGCCTGTTACCCTACGCAACTCAGCCCACGTTTGGTTCCAGTAATCCCATACCTTGAGACAGAAGTCCAGGCAATGACAATCTGCGGCAAAGTCCCTCGGTCCCTTCCTCTCGAATGTCCCCCAGGCTGGAGCTCCTCTTGTCCGGCATGGTCTCTTGCATTCTCACAAGCTCTTCCCGGGTCTCCTTGTGGTAAGGTATGCTGCCCGCTGGGCCGCCGATACAGGTCAGCATCGATGTGGGCGAGGGGTAGTAGTAGTTCACAACTTTCCTGAGTGAAAGGGCTTCGTAGGTGGCAGCCACCTTCTCCCCAACCACCGAGGCACAGGAGACCACCAGCGTGTTGAAGGCTGAAGGAGTCGAGGGTGAAGCAGTGACTGAATGCGCACTGTCGGGTTGAAGCAGGAGTTGTGGGCACGAGACCTGGGCTCCTTTAGCAGAGCAATCTGTCTGGGAATTGTCAGAGAGCTTTTGGAGGTACTCCTTGACGGCCTTTTCGTCGGGATAAGGTGAGCTCCGAAGTCTCTGGTTGCCAGGGGCACCGTTGGCCTCCAGCACCGGACAGAGAGGGCTTCCCCGCTCAGCCGCAATCGAGCACTCGCTGTGCTCCAATTCACCGGCGGCGGAGCTAGCGCCGTGAAGAGCATCCTCCAGCTGCTGAAGGCTGCTGCTGCCTGTGTCAGATCGGTAAATTGGGTGTTTGGAAGGAGACTGATAGTGATTGAGTGGCAAAGATTTCCATTCAGAGTCGGACAACTCCATGCCCAGTGGGCAGTAGTGATTGTCTGATATGATCACGTGGTCCTCCTTGTCCATCATAGTCAGCAACAGCTGGTGGCAGTGGTCGCACTTCTCTGGGTTCTGCTTCTTCTCGTGCGGGGATGGCCTCTGGACAAGCGCCAGACTGTGCTGTGCTCCACAGGCAATCTGCAGCACCTCTCGGCCGGCCAGGTGCTCCAGCTTGTGGGGCTTGGCCACGGGGAAGCTGGTGGTGACCAGGCCCAGCTGGCAGCCGCTGCCCCAGGCCCACACCTCCCGCCTGGACGACAGGGCCAGGGTGTGCTGCTCCCCGCAGGCCAGCTGCACGATCCGGCTCGCCTGCGGGGGGCTGGTCTCGGGGTCGCAGATTGGGACCAGAGTCGGGGTCTGGACGTGGCTCTGGCCTGTCACTCCACACTGGCAGGAGGAGTTCTCACCCCACATGAAGACACTGCCGTCCTCGGTCACCGCTCCGCTGTGGTAGCTCCCCGCAGCCACACTGACCACCCGCGCGCCCTCCAGACTCCCCTCTCGAGTGGGAACAATTGCATGATTGCTCACAGAGTTCAGTCTCCATGGGAACTGCCCAAAGCTGTAGACAACACCACCTAAAAGGGAATGGAGAAGGGGCGGCGGGGGGAATCAATTAGCCTGCATTTATTACAAATGGGGCATAAATACGACAAATTACATTTATACAGCCGCTGAACAGCTAAGGTTTTGCACTCGAGTTGGGGGTTGGAATCAAGAAGAGTGGAAGGAAGGGGGGGGGGTGGAAGGGTGGCTAAAAGCACGATCAAAAAGGATATGACGTGAAGTATAGATTTACAAATCCCCTGCATGGACAGGAGGTGGAGCGCAAGATCATGTCAAAGGTTGTGGTGAGGGGTGGGTTTGCATCTCTCAGGATCCCTCAACCCCAAGTTATGAACATCGTGCCCCCACCTCCAGTTAGCAGTGCTGCACCTCCCCCCTGAACTGCCAATCGCTCACCTTCAATGAGCAGTACGCCGTGCTGGGCTCCCATAGCCGCCTGTAACACCACCTTGCCCCCGAGGCCAGGCAGCCGCTGTGGGACCAAAGAGCTGCCATAGCCTTTCCACACCAGTAGGAGCCCTCGTTCCTGATGACTCTCCTCCTCTCCTGGGCTGTGCAGACAATTTACAAACAGTTAAACCTTCACAATTGTTCACAGTGGTTCTTATTTTGCTTACTGTATAAGGGTGTACCTTTTCATTACACTTTGCAGTATGTCCTGCGAGGAACTTGGAGACATCCTCCTGACGTGAAAGGCATTATAGCAAATGTAAGGATTGTTATTTCATATTTATTCCAGCCCACTGTTCCCAGGTCTCTCCAGCTTTAAACTATAATGTTACACCACAGAAAAGGCTACTTGGCCCATTAGGCCTGTGCCAGCCCTCGGAAAGAACTGTCCATTTAGTCCACTCCCTTGTCCTTCCCCAACACAATTTTCTATATTTCAGATATCTGTTCAATTTCCCTTTGAAAACTATTATGGATTCTGCTTCAAGCAGTGTCACAGACATGTCTGTGGAAAGAATTGGAATGAAGGAAGCTCCAAGAGCTAATAAGAATAATAAAAAAATCAATACATTTAGCACCTTTCACATTGGGAGAACGTCTCAAAGTGCTTCACAGAATATACTGTGAAGTGCAGTAACTGGTGTATTTCCTAGATGAAAATTGTGCACAGCAATATCCCACAAACAGCCATAAATTGTATTTGGGGGATTCTTGGCTAGGACACTAGGAGAAATTCCCTTCTTTAGAATAACCCAATCTTTAACATCCACTTGAACAGGCAAACAGGACCTTGGTTTAACATTTCATCCAAAGGACAACACCTCAATGCACACCCCAGCACAACATTGGAGTGCCAATCCTAGACTTCAAAGACCTAATGTGGGGATTGAACCCAATAAACTGACTCTGAGGTGAGAATGCTACCAACCAAACAACACTGACAATAATCAGGCTGACTGTCAGATTCAGTGCAGTCCCTGGCCCCAGGCCTGATTACCTCTTGCTACAGAGATGGAAAGTACCTTGTGTCTTGCCTTTCCATTAGTAGAGAAACCCCATCTCACGGTTAGCGCAGGGCAGCCCTCTTATAAATTCCACGGGAAGAAAACTGAAGAGAAAAACAAAATCATTAAAATAGCATCTCTATGACTGTTAAAATCACACTTCACACACCACTGGAATTTAATCTGAGCCCATACGACAATCTGTATGTCTCAGTACTAACCAGGTACAATCTCATTTTGATAAGAATGTACCTCTGTTAGGATTAACAATCGCCAGGAATTTCCCTGTTACGCAAACCCCAATGCCAGTCAAAGAAGGGAGGGGCATGAATTGAATTCCCCACCACCACACACACACACACACACACTCCTCAGTTGTTCAATTTAACATCACTGCTAAGGAACAAGGGGTGAGGTGTTGGGAGTCCAAACCAACTTGTGTGCATTCATACAATAGAAACCAAATGGATTGAATGGTCTCTAGCTGTGTTGTAGGTTTCTACAAGTCCCTGAAGCAGGGCTGCCAGACATAGGTGGGAGGTGCTTTGCCCTGGAGAACGAATCAGAGGGAAAAAACGAATCAGAGGGAAAAGGCAGCCATACGTCTTCAGGAAAAACAGCTGAATGGATTTCTAAAAGCCGCAGCATCTGCTTCAGTACCAGGGCTTTGGTCCCGAGGGTTGGGCAGACTCCGAGTTCCAAGCAGTGTTCTGCATAGTTAAGTGAGGCTTCTTGTGCACACAACCCAAATCCCAGCATTTCATTTCCTTTCACCATCTCCACAAACATTGCCAGAAGAGAATCCAACCAGATAGAAATGTATCACAATACATGCTGAATGGTCTACAATCACAACTAACTACACAAGATGATTTTAAAGAAGAGGCCTTTATCCTCACTTGAAATAGAAAAGCTTAATAAAGTGGTAAATTGAACTCTCATCTCTAATTTGACTGCCCCTCACTCTTAAACAACCCTCTATCTATAGTATTCTATAATAATTCTCTTTTAAACTCTTAATAATAAGTTGATGAACAATGTTAATAATAATCCTTACATTTGATACAGTGTCTTTCAGGAGTATGTCTCAAAGCACTTCACAGGATATACTGTAAATAGTAGTGACTGACTGTTTTGTTGGCAAACAAAATTCTTCCAACAATGAAGCACTCCAGTCTAACTCTACTGAATATACCTGACCTTCTCAATAGGGTTTCTAAAGTAATTTCCTTATCACAGCCATCTGAAGGATGTGACTGGTGATTGGAACCCGGCTCAATTGTGAACCTGTGTTTATTCCACGCTGTGAACCACAATGTAGCCAAGACCAGATTTTGCATTATACTGGAAGGGTTCAAAGTCACAAAAACTTTTACATGTGTGCCAGGCAGAATCAGAAAAGACATGTCACTCTCATAATCACCCTCATTTTACTATAAATAATAGCTGGGATAAAATAATTCCCCAGTCACTTTGAGTACTGTTAGCAAAGGCAGATTTACGTGAATAAAAACAAGCTAACCTTCATATTGTAGATTCCAGTATTTTGTGCGCAATTTACTCAAAGACTTTGAATTAAAGCATAACCATCCAGATGTAGCTTTTATGTAAGATCATTTTCAAAATAAATCCTACCAAACAAGATGCATCTTACATCCATGTGTGCTACGCACTGTTCGGAGTCTGTGATCAATAAGATCTCCCAGCAGTGTGCAACGATCACAAATTTACTTGGTTTACCTGAACTGCAAACAATTTGAAAATTGTGCATTTTGCAAAAAAAAGGAACAGGGTCATGGACTGCTGTGCTTGCAAATCACCAGCTCATCATCTCTACTGCCTTTCAAGAGGGCGAAATGCAGCAGCCAATTTCGCACTGACTGCAGTGTCCCACAAACAATTGTGGATTGAGTGAACACATTATTATTTGCATACAGCAAGGTCCACAAACAACCATGAAGTGAGTGATCAACTTTATTTGGAGGATTGTTGGCCAGGGTACTAGTTCCCTTTTTCAAATCATGCCATGGGATCTTTAACATCCACTGTTCAGGCACAGGACCTCAATTTAACATCTCATCCAAAGGATGGCACCTCCGACAATGTAGTATTGTCATATTAATACCCCAGTATTGCAGTGGAGTGTCAGCCTGAGTGATAAGCTCAAGTCCCGACATGGACTTCACTTAGAGAAATGAGGGTGCTACCTGCTGAACTAACTGAGCTGTTAATATATCTTGTACGGCTCAACTGGGATTAAATTTAATTTTGCAGTGGTCAGATTGCGTTTCATTCTAGTAGTGGATTTGGGAGCCAAGCTGAACCCACTTCCTAACCAGGGAAAAGTTTGCAGCAAGATCTATTCCCTTTTGTTGGTGTAGCTCTACCATCCACCTCTCTGCACCACAAGCACTCCTAAGACCTGCTTTACTCTGGAATTAAAGGCAACACTCCATCAGCGCGTTTGCAAGAATCCCCACCTCAGTGACTCTTTCAGAGAAAGAAAGAGAGAATGAGAGCGAGAGAGAGAAAAAGAGCAAGGGAAAGAAAATGAAAGCGATAGAAAGAGAACGAAGACAAAACCCAACAAAGTCTGACCTTTCTTGTTCGATCACCTCCTCGCTGTGCTGACTGTGCTCAGAGTTAAACCATCCTTAATGACTGCAAGTTAATACCTAGTTACACAGCAGCCAGCATCAATGTTTAATGGAAGATTTCCCATTCTCATGGGGCTACAAGCTCTGAAGTCAAGGCCGTGTGCAGACCAATTCGATCGTTTTGTCCAAAAGATTGAAACAGAACAAAATTAAGAAATGTCAAATGTTTGTGTTAATAGCTTCAAACCCAAGGAGCTGGCACTGCACTCAGCCTCCAGAGTCCAGCAACAAAGATGCATTGTGCTCACCCACTACGACAGAACCCTACACTGTACACTGTAAGGCACGGAAACAATGTACATTCAGCCACCCCAGGCAATCCAGGGGTGATGCTCCAAGGCATTATTGGGGGGAAAGCTAGATTGTCAGAGATGCTGTCCTTCAGATGAGATCTTAAACCATTAAAGACCCCGTAATGCTATTTGAAAAGCAAGTTTCTCCCAATATCCTGTCCACCAATTCCCCAGATAAAATTGTTCATTCACTGTTTGTGGGATATTGCTGTGTGCAAATTGGCTGTCACATTTGCCTACAAGACACATAGTCATTACACTTTACAGTAAATTCCGTGAAGCACTTTGAAATGCTTCAGTAACGTGATAAGGCTCTGTATTAAATACAAGAATTATTATAATGGTGATCATTATTATTTCAAGAGTCACAGTCTCCTTTCACATACTGGGCTTTATCCAGCGCTCATACCAATTGGAAATGAGAGGCATAATTTATGTTATGCCTGTTTGACCCCACTTTTGGTCATCTTTCTCCTCCTCAACGCCCTCGACTCCCACCTTCAGCACCTTAGACCAGCTAGAATTGTTAAGTGCTTTGGGGCATTCTCCAAATGTGAAAGGTGCTAGTTAAGTGTTAACTGTTTTGTATGAATACACCAATGTATTGCTTGCCATCTTTGGAACAGGAGCCATTTCATCATGGCTGTTTATAGGACGTTGTTGTACACATATTGGATGCCGCATTTGCCTACAAATTACAGTCACTGCAATTTACAGTAAATCCTGTGAATCACCAAGCCTTCACCATTTTATTCATTCGCGGGAGCTCTTTTCTTCTTAATCCCATCTCCCCACTTCTTCTCCACATCTCATGGAGCTCCAATCCCAACCATTGTACCTTCCTCTGAAACAAATCGATTTATTCATCATCTAAGGCTTTCTGAGGCTGTGCGCTATGTATTCTCACAACCATCTGCCTTGAAGAAACTATTCTGGATACACTTCTTAACCATTCGCCTCTATTAGTATGATTATTAATGTTAAGATAATAATTATAATAATCCTTGCATTTGATATAGTGCTTTTCACGTCTTCCAGACGTCTCAAAGCGCTTCACAGAATATACTGTAAAGTGAATTGACTCTATATTTGTGGGTGAAACGCAGCAGCCATTTTGCGCACAGAAGTGTCCCACAAACAGTCGTGGATTGAAGTGACCAATTTATTATTGTTTTTTGTTTCTTGAGGGATTATTATCAGGCGTGTGGAGTAAGGAAACTTGGCCAGGTTTTGCCCTACCGGGTAATCGAACCCAGGTCTCTCGCTTGCAGGACGAGTGCTCTAACCACTGAGCTACAGGAATCCATAGGACTCATAAACAAGATTTATGTTAACTACAGTTTTCCATCTGCGATTTTACACTGGTTCCCATATCTGAATAACTTTCAACCCAGATTATATCCATTAGCGTGCTGGCAGCCTCCTGCACGTGTCATCTCTTCTGTTATTTTTACAACTTGTAACAGAATTAGACAGTTTATGTTTCAGACAATCATCTACTCTAACAGGCAAAAATTATGTAACCTTGACTGTGAAAACTCTGTAACTGGCCTTTCACCATGATAGTCACTGAAGGAATCTTGTGACCAACAAATCACTCAATGAACAGAAACTGAGTGCAAAGACTCATCCCTGATGGGGAGTTAGTGAAACTCTAACTCAGCCCAATATGTTGTTGACTTATTCCCCACCAATACAGCCACTTAATTGATTACACATTAACCAAAGAGCTGTTTTTCTCAGGCCCCTAATATTCAGGAGATGCACTTCAAAACCTTTTTGCATAGTGAATGTGGCAAGCTTGCTTTACGGGTGACATCAGAAAAGCACTTCAATGGCAAAGGTGCAATGTGCAGTGTCTTGGCCTGACAAAGAAAGTGCATCTGGAGGTAAAGTTCATCTCGTACAAGGAACCCCTTGCAAGACTGACTCCAGATCAGCCAGGCCCTGAACACCTAATGTATCGCCATGACGTACATGGGATCCTCTGTATGTCAACAGCTAGATTTTTGCTCTGCGCTCATGCTATTTACATAATGATTTTCCTGTTCAAGCGTTTTTTTTTTCTATTCGCTATGTGGGCCAAAGCCCCTATGTGCAGGTTGAGCTCTAGCTGGACAAGCATTGGAAAGCTTGCTCAATGCACACTCTTGA